CCTGGACACACTGTAGAGAACACTGATAGTGGAGATGACCCGGGGTGTGGCCAGTCACTGACCTGGACACACTGTAGAGAACACTGATAGTGGAGATGACCCGGGGTGTGGCCAGTCACTGCCTGGGCGGGAATGGAGTTGATACTCCTGATGTGTGATGAGGCCTTGTGGAAAGTGGAGGTCAGGCTGAGTTTGGGAAGTTAAAGGAAGCAAGGCGAAGGAACCCTGGAAGACACCCTGGCTGAGGGTTTAAGGAGATCATTTAAGCAGCTCAATTTTTTTAAAGAAGTGGTGTAAGCTGGTATAAATAGGTTCTTTTGGAGTTGGTTTTTTTCCAGCATGATATATACTTTGCACTTAATGCTTTTTGAGTAAAAAGGTATTTTATGTTCTTTGAACATTTAGTAAAATAACCATTCTTTAGTAATTTTTAGGTTAGTAGCACCTACAGAAGGCTTGCTGGAATGGGATATCATTGAAGTTAAACGTCTTCTTGATCACCAGGATAACATTCTGTCACTGGTTAACATCAACGGTAAGCTCTTTGTATACGCTTCTGTTATGTACGATTTCAGAGTTTTCGTCTTGTTTTGTTCCAATATTTCAGAATTACCACTCGAATAATAGGTTAGTGGAGACTGTTGTTATCTCTTACTCTGAGCTTTGAGACAGTAGAGCCTCAAGTCTCAGTGTGGTCCAAGACTTTGGCACAGGCAGATAGAGTAGAGCATAGCTATCCTAAGGTTCTGCTTGGTGGCTGTGGATGCTCATCACAGGCTGTGAATCTGAATGCAGAGCATTCTAGCATTCCTCACGAATGGCTCTGGCTCTGTCACTACCAGTGAGCATGACATCAGGAGGCAGGAGAGGATCACGAACTCTGGCTCTGGGCAGTTAGTTCTGGCAGATAAGTGACAGCTGACGTCATCAGAACTGAACTGGGAGATCTGTGTATGGGTCACATGGAGAGTTCTGGTGGAGATTGCAAGCAGGCTGTGTAGGACTGCTGGGAGCATGCCACAGCAGGAGGAGTTACAGCTCCTGAGCCCCTGGAGACCTGGGGCACGACTGGCTCTTTTGGGGGAATAAGTTGTAGGAACACGAGATGGGGTGAAGTATGGAGAACACCACACGCAGATCTGCTTTGTGTCTCTAGTGCTCTTTGGTCCTCTTCTCAGACACATCAGTGAGCATCTTCCCAGCTTCAGCATCTTCCCCTCCGTAGCCAACATCCTACAGAATCCACTTGCACATCTTCCCAAGGACCAGATGGTCTGCGGTACTGGAAGTAACAGTGGTTGGGCAACTCTTTGTATCCAGAGATTGTTTTCTCTAGCCATGGACGGTAGCTCCAAAGTCAAGTACTTCTCTGGGAAACTCTTTGAGCCTCTTTGGAAACACTGAACCATGACAAGGTACTGGAAATTCTACAAAAAGAAGGACTGATTCTTGCCCATTATGCTGGTTAGGTCTAGTTATCTGTCTTGTTTTAGTGGTGAAGCCCTGGCATCATTGAAACAACATGGTTACTTAAAGGAAGATTGTCCTGCGCTCGGCCTCGCCTGCAAGAACCACGCGGGACACAGGATTCTTCTGCAGAAATAGCTTTAATCCTCTTGGGAGCTAGAGCATAAGCCACATGGCGGAGACCCAGATATGATGGAACCCATCCTTTATATAGGAAACAGACCCTGCTTCGGACGTGTCACTCTTGGATTGGTCCGCTGCTCCCAGTCCTAGGTGATGCCTCGGGAGTAGGCGGGGACACAGAAGTGGAAAGTTACCAACACGTGTGCGTTCACCTGGCGGTGAAGCCGGATGTCAGCGCCATCTTGATGATGGAGAATGTGGCTGCGGTCCTCCACAGAAGATGACAAGTTATTACCAAGTAATTCTTAGTTAGCATCATGGTCCAGCTTTTGCTGTGCAGTATACACACAGTATACTGTATAAGCTAGTATAAGCTAGACTTATAACTTCCTGTAATTTTTATTTTATTTTACTTTTTGCTAAGGTGAGAACCCAATGCATTCTAATCAAGTGAGCTAGTTATACCTCAACCCGAGGCTTATACAAATTTAAAATTTGAAGAGCCTTCCCCATTTCCTACCCTGATGGGTTCTCTCTACCCATGCTGACCTTGAACTTACAATATTTCTGCTTCTACCTCTAAAGTTTTGCTGCTACATGGTCTTTGTCGGGATATTTGTTGGGATATTATGCTGCTACATAGTCTTTGTTGGGATATTATGGAAAATGGAAAGCTAAAGAAAAATTTTTAATGAAAGTTACAATCTATAGTACTTCTGCTTTATAAACTGCAAAACTGAACTGCAAATAATAAATACAGCAAAAGCATTTTTAGGAATGGCACATGTTTAGGTAGTCTGGTGATGTTTGAAAGATTTGCTATTGGCTGGATCTTGTACATGGGAGTGCTGCAGATTCTAGCGATCTTGTATGATTTGTTTTGTGGTTCCCCGCTTCACTCTGCCCTGCTTCTTTTCCACTTGCTCACTTAATGCCATGGGCCAGTTACTCGGTTCATGCATCACAAGAGAGATACGTTCAGAAAGGAAAGAAAGGAAGGAAGGAAGGAAGGAGGGAGGGAGGGAGGGAGGGTAGGAAGGAAGGAAGAAAGGGAGGAAGAAAGGGAGGGAAGGAGAGAGGGAGGGAGGGAGGGAGGAAGGAAGGAAGGAAGGAAAGAAAGAAAGAAAGAAAGAAAGAAAGAAAGAAAAAGAAAGAGAAAAGAAAAGAAAGAAACTATCTATCTCTTGGCAGGCAATGAGAGAGCACTAGAGAGGTAGAGGCAGACAGATTTCTGAGTTTGAGGCCAGTCTGGTCTGCAGAGTAAATTCTAGTACACAGAGAAACCTTGTCTTGAAAAACCAAAAATAAAGAATATATAATTATACAATTCCCCCATAGCCATTCCTCCCTCCAAACCTTCCCATATATCCTTCTTCTCTTTCAAATTCATGGCCTTGTTTTCTTACTAAATGTTGTTATGTGCGCATGTGTGTGCGCATGTGCATAACTGACCTGCTGATGTTCTAATGCCTGTATAATGTTACTTGTGTATATGTTTTCATGGATAACCATTTGGTATTTTTTTAAAGCTTGGAAAGAAAGCTGAGCAGATCAGAGGGTTTGCATGAGGACAGATCTCCAGAACTCTTAGACAAAGCTGGGTGTGCCTGTAACTGCGTCAAGGGCAAGGGTGAAGGTGCAGAAAGGAGAATCACTGGGACTTGTTGGCTGCATTCTAGCTAGTGCCAGTGAGTGCCAGACTCAGTGAGAGACCCTGTCTCAAGGGAGTAAGGTGGAGAGCCGTTCTGGGTGTCCAGATGCTCCTCTCACCTGCACATGCATGTACAGAGGCCCACATATCTGCAAACATGCTTACAACATAGAAACATGTAACACATGCACACTCATGCACATACTCATGCACACGCATACACACACTTTCTAAAAAGAAGTGCGTTTCTTTGGTGAGGTTGTCCCAGGACAGTCTCGGAATGATCTACTTGAACTCCCGAAAGTATGTTTGATGTGTGCCAAAACTTACTGAAGGAGTTCTGTAAGCCTGGGGTTTCCTAAGACATAAGCTGCTGTTCCTACTCTCTTCTGGCAAAGGGCTCTATGTATTTATTTCATTCCTTAGCTTGTCCATGCTGCTAGTGTGTATAGCGCTCACAAAACATTTGCGTTTGTGAGGAGTGGATAGATGGGGGCTGGGAGAGAGTTTCCTAAGTGGATTTTGATATTACAGGATGAAATACATCCACTGTTAGCATCAATGAGGATGTTTGGTGTGAAACCTTCTGAGTGACCTGTCTGGAACTATAAATAATTACACAGGGAGACTTATATGCTAAAGTGAATGCCAGTCTTTTGCTTTTAGTGAAAAGATCCAAGAGGTCATTGATATTGTGTTTCTGTTGTGTAAAAGAACCACAGAGGAGGCAACTGCGTGGTCTCAAAGTTTTAATTCTGTGTTGTTTACAGACCCAGACCTGGAGTCAAGGAGCGCGTCTTTTTCACCCTTAACTTCTTTGATTTTTTTTTTTTTTTTTTTTTTTTGGAGTTGAGTGAGATCCGAGGCGGCCGTGGAAAGATTGGTACTGCTGAGTACCCCGAACTGCCGCAGCGTTAAAGCTGGAAAGCTGTTTTCCTCCCGCGATCATAGTGGAACTTATTTCCTCCCACAATGACTCCTGCAGTGATTCAGTAGCTGCAGACATTGCTAAGCTACCTGTTATGACTCCGAGACCAAGATAAAAGTAATGCTCATATCTAGGATGGCTAGTGACTTTTATTTCTAAGAGAGTGTTCATCTGGCTGTGGCAGATTTCTGTCCTGCAGGTTTATTTGTCAGATGGAATAATAAAGTTATAATTCCCCACCCGTGTGTTCCTAAGTTGTAAATCACTGTGCATTTAAATACTGCTAATGTAGAGTAATACCCATATTCAAGACAACATTATTTTTTTTAAAAAAATGGCTAGATATTTACTATTTAATTTATTTTCTATAATAATCCTCAATTAACACATGAGAAATCCAAGACAGAGAAAGGTTAATGGGACACCTGGCTAGTAGCAGGCAGAGCCGGAGCTGTAGCTTGAGCCCTGTGCTCAGGGCGGTGTTCTGTTCTGACTTACCTTAAATATGTAAGGCAGTAATAAATTACATTTGAGAGAGAATTTTTAGTCTAGCAGTTGCACAGTGTCTATTAACTATATGATGTACAAATTGTCTAGGTCCTTAATTTAACTCTATTTGGGGGTTTTAAAGCTCATTGTTTTACAAGTTATATTCAGAATAAATATATGATAATAGCAAGAAACATGGAATTAAATTAAGAATGGAATTAAAATGAAAATTGTGCCATCATTCAGTATTAAACACTAGTTCACATATCTCTGTGTATTTCCTGAGCATATGTACATGTATGCATTTGTATGTACAAATACATGCGTTACTGTTTTATAAGAGTATGGTGTGAACATAGTTCCATGTCAATATAAGTGTACTTTTACAGCTTAATTCTCAGTAGCTAATATTATTTTATTTTATGGTTGTCATATTTACTTAGTCCACAGTTGGCTATTTAGGTTGACCTCAGATTCTTAGGATTCTGTCTTGCAGCTTTGAACATATATTGTTTGCCTTTCCCTCAGGACAAATTCTTCAAACGGAACTGGTGGGTCAGTGTGTGTGTTATTTTACAGTTTGACTCCTCTTAGTAAATATATCATTTAAAATTTCTTTGATTATTAAAGTAGTTAAAGATGTTATCACATATTTATTTTCCATCTATTTTCTTATTCTTAGTACTTCCTAGGGTTGCCATATGTATTGAGTATAATGAACTGTTTTGAGTTGCCAATTCTCCCCATTTTTAAATCGTATGTGTATTGGTTTTGTATTTTAATTTTTTAATTTTAATTTTTTTTTGTCAAGCAGGTATTTCCTTGTATGTCTTCCCATGCCCTGCTTCTGTTAGTGTTCTTTAGCCACTCTGTAGTCCTAGAACTACTTATTTAATTGACGATTTTTTTGGCATATCATTTAAGGGAAGATTCTTTTATTTTAATACCTGTAAAAGTTGACCAAACATTATAGATGGCATTTTTATTGGTACAAACTGTAATATTTATCTTCAGTGAACTCTAACTTTGGCTTCTTGCTGTCATATTAACCTTCCTCTTTAGTGTGTCTAGGTACAACGAGGAAGCCCGTTCACTTTTAGTTTTAGCCTCGGGAACACGATGAGTGATGGGGCTCTGGTGGACTTTTCTAGATACAAGTTTCGTCACCGGGTCCCACGTCGGGGAGCTGATGATCTGGGATGCCCTTGACTGGACTCTGCAGGCCTGCGAGCGGAGCTTCTGGAACCCATCGCCACAGCCAGATGCCCAGCAGGAAATAAAACTCTGCCAAAAGCAAAATGACATTTCTATTAATCATTTCACATGTGATGAAGAGGTAAAAAGTATAAATTATAATTGTTACAAATAAAACCAGCATCTGATATTTAAATCCTAATATGTTAGACAGGATTCTGGGCAGCTGGGAGGCTCAGAGGCACTGCAGTAGGCAAAGGTACTTGCTACTAAGCCCAGCAACCTGAGTTCGGACAACAGGATCCACAGGATGGAAAACACCAATACGTGAATGTGCCCGAGCATGCGTGTACACACACACACACACACACACACACACACACGCACAGTAAGGAAAAGGTTACTACCGATGGTTTCAGGTTCTAAAATGGCCTGATAGTTTGCTAAAGAATGGACCCCTTGTGTTAAGAAGAGACTTTAGTCCTGGTCCCTAATCTCGCAGTAAAGAAGTTATTAGAGCGCAAGTTTACAAACCTAATTTGATTTGTATTGAGCTGTCCCATCGTGTTTGAGGTTACTGTTTGATTTGTTTTCAGTTCTGAGGTATGTCCTAGAGAGGGGAAAAGTTAAACCTGTGAGAAATGTTTCTCTCCTAGGGGGCTGGTGTCCTGGTCAGGATACCCGGGCGGGAACAGCTGCTGTCTGTCTCTGACCAGGCAGTAGCGCTTGCGATGCCCACGCTGTAAGCCAGCGCTGGCACTACTGACTCTTGCCTCTGACCCGAAAGTCTTCTCTCTAAGCCTCTGTGCCTCAGAAAATGTGTTTAAGGGGAGTTACTTGTCTCGGTGTTCATAGCTTTTGAGAAAGGGAGCCAAGGAAACCTTTCTTATTTCATTTTGTGCTTTTTATCCTAATTTTCATACTTGTTACCATTTTATTATTTTTTGTTGAAAAATCAGAAATAGTAATTTTTTTCTTTGTACTACTTTGTGTGCCAGTTTTGTGTGTATGTGTGAGTGTGTGTGTGTGTTTGTGCATGCGTGTTCCTATGTAGGTATTTGCATATGGTGCTATAGCCAATACCAGGAGTATGAGTATGGAGGCTGAAGGTCAGTACCAAGTTTTTTTCTCCAACACTTTTCACATTATTTAATTCTTAAAAACTTAAAAAATATATTTATTTATATGTTTGCATGAGTATGCGTGTACGTGTATGCAGTTGTGCTGTGGCTCACGTGTGAATGTCAAGATAATTTGCAGGAGTTGGTTTTCTTCTCCCATCACACATGGATCCCAGGGATGGAACTCAGGACATCAGGCTTGGTGGCAGGCGCCTTCCCTCTGAGCCATTTTACCGGCCCTTCAGTTTCTTAAATCTTACCTTGCCAGTCTGGAGAGTAACAGTCATGCTTCCCCTCATCCTCAGCAGATGCTGTAAGGTGGAGGTGAAGGGAACACTAGCAAAAATGCCTTCTGAAGACTCAAGTGTCTTAACAGAAAGGTTTAGAACTTTTTCCTTTAATTCTTCAGATGGCCTTTGGCTAGGATCACTGCCGCATCTACTTCTTGGGTTGTTTATAGGTTTAAGATGTGCGGTGCGAGTCATTTTGGCTCCATTTCCAGACAAAAGCAACTGAGCAAATCCCCAAGGGTACCATGTTCTCTGGAAGCCCAGGCTGCATGCACCTCGGTACCTTCTGCTTCAGGGCCCTGGTAGCAGCCACCGTGCCTGCAGCTCAGGTCTCCAGAGAGCACCAAGGCAGAGCTGAGCTGCCCTGTGCAGAGCCTTCCTCTGCTTGCTTGGTGTGCTAAGCCTTCCTTGGAGACTTTGACATTGGGGGCGGCAAAGGGCAGGACTGTAATTTTTGTCTGAAGGCCGGGGAGGTAACAGTGGCTTCCCAGTGTCACAAAGGGGCAGGAAAGCTATTATAGTAAAGTCTAGTTTTATGCCAATTTCTGAACTTTCTCCACTCCTGCCCCCCAGAATATATTTGTTGCCGTTGGAAGGGGGCTATATGTGTATAACCTACAACTGAAGCGTGTGATTGCCTGCCAGAAAACTGCACATGACTCCACCATCCTCCACATCGACAAACTTCCCAACAGGTACATTCCCATCTCTCTGCGAAGACGAGACAGTCATGGCTCCGAGGCCCACTAGCGTGATTTCTGCAGTGGCCAAATTACCTAGCTCCACAACTTGACCTTGGTATTCTCTTGGAAATAGAGAATGTTTCATGACTGTAATTGAAGAGTCTGCAGCAATACATAACAAACAGAAATTTACAAGAGCAAGGTTAAATAAATTATACTGTTGTTTCTTAAAAGAAAGTTTTAAATTGTTAATAAGGTTAAAAAAACCTGGATCACTTATAATGTACTATTTTGTATATTCTATAAACTAATTTTTTAATTGTGTGTATGTTTATGGCTAAAATTGGATGTAGCCCTTACTGTCTGAGGCTATAAATGAGGGTTGATTTGGCAGTTAAAATTCCACTGATGAAGCCACAGAGTAGATTTTCCATGCAGCATCCTTCCGATGAGAGGAACCGTGGGAAGAGATGTAAAAAGAGGCAGGAAGGAGGAGACTACTTTGGATATTGTGAGACTTTAACAATAGGTTAAATAATAATAATAGGTTATTGTGTAGTTCGTGTCATTTTTCTGAATAGTCTTTTAAAAAAAAATGAAGATGGTATTTTATGTCACTTGAGCCAACGTCACAGATTGTAATGTGTGCTTTGCCAAATTGTGATGGTCCATCTTGTCCAAAGCTGACTAGCTGATGCAGTCAGTTGAGGGCTCCAGTGATTTCAGCAGCTAGCACTCGGCCTTCCAAGTACTCTTTCCGACTTCTTCTGTCTGGCTTTTTGTTTTGACAGGCAGTTAATCTCATGCTCAGAAGATGGCAGTGTACGCATTTGGGAGGTCCGAGAGAAACAGCAGCTGGCAGCTGAACCTGTCCCAACAGGTGCGTGCCCTCCCCCACAGAACATGCTGTTCCCTCTCCCTTCCTCCTTTCTTTCTCCTCCCCTTCTTCCTTCCTTTTTCATCTCATCCAGCAGGACAATGAGAGGTTACAGTGAGGAGCCCGAGGAGCCGCATAGAATGTGCCCCGTGTAGGCTTCAGACACTGGCAGCATGTCTCTGGTGCTTGGAATTAGGAGTTGGCATCTGAATTTCGCTTCAGTGTAAAACTATCTCTTTATTTCAGTTGAAGTCGATTACAATTTTATTATTTTGAGAGAAAACTGAATTTTACGAAATTCAAATGACCAGGTAGCCTACTGAAGTAATTCCACACCTATAACATTGTATTTCTGACTGACACAAAATCTGTACAATTGGTAAAAAAGCATTATTAAAACCGAATGCAACATAATGTCATAATCTCATGAACTCTTTTAGGGGTTTGGTTTGAAAAATGAGTCTGGATATTTGAATGAATTTAACTATTAATCCTCAATATGTCAAATACTGGTGTTCTTAATTTCTTGTCTTTTTCAGTTTACTTGAAGTTCTGGGATAGTCTTTCTCTCTCTCTCTCTCTCTCTCTCTTTCTCTCTCTCTCACACACACACACACAGAGAGAGAGAGAGAGAGAGAGAGAGAGAGAGAGAGAGAGAGAGAGAATTTCCCTGCTTTGTTGATATGTCTTCTCCCTGATTTTCTATGATTACATAAAACCTTCAAGGCTGCTTACTTCTCTTACATTCCAATGTCTGGTTTTTTGGTGGATGAGTAGGGGCTGTAGAAAAGATGATGTGGAGCTAGGCAAGGTAAGAAAAATACAACATAATATGTCCATAGGTCCTGGCTAGTGCCTACTGCTGTCAGCTTAACCCTTCACACACGCAAGTGTGAGACACGATTATATTGAAATTTTCTGCCTTTCAGTAAGGAAATGAGCTTTTGAAGTGACTGAAATGATTGTATTTTTGTAGGGTTTTTTAATATGTGGGGCTTTGGAAGAGTGAGCAAACAAGCCAACCAGCCTGTTAAGAAGCAGCAAGAAAACGGCACCACGTGTTCCCTGGAGCTCATGGGAGACTTGATCGGCCACTCGTCCTCCGTGGAGGTACCACTCTTAGTAGGCCTGCAGGCCAAGCAGCTCCTGCTTTTGCAGCACGATTTTTTTCTCATGCAGTTGCTCTAAGTAAGACTCACACATTCTCAGCTGTGGGCTTTGGCAAGATAAGAACCAGAATAAGATAGTGATAGTACAAGTGGTTAGGGTTGGCCTTCCTAGAGATAGGATTTGAGGAAGTAAACAATGTATTGGTTTAAGAACAAGCTTAGTCTCCATTGTATAGGAGGTGTAGCTAGCTGATCAATCTTGGGCAATGTTAGTGACTTTGACTATGTATTGCAGCAGTCAGAGCGTTGTGGCTGTGTTTGTAGGGTAAAAGCCTGAACAGAATCTAATTCCAGGGATCATAACCGAATTTAGGATCAGAGTACTGTTTCCAACTGCCATTGATTAACCCTGGTTATAGACCCTGCTACTGTGTCACTTTGCATTATGAAGTTTAGGAACTATGCGGAGGAGTCTCACTCGTGGAATTGCAGACACATTAATAATTTACAGTAAGCACCATTGTCTGCAGTGAAGGAAGGGATTGATGGCAATGAAGGGGTGATGGGAACTGGTACGGCGTAAGAACAGCAGTGAGGGGGCCCTAAGGAATATATTTCCTGAATTGTTCTTCCTGTTGCTTGGCCAGTGAGGAACAAATTACTTTTAATTTGGGTAGGCATCCATACTTACTTAGAAGCAGCAGCCACAATGACCATTGACCATTTCCTGAAGTTTAAAAAGAGGTATAAAATGTAACCCTTGTCCTCACGGATCTGATACTTCAGTAGAGAGGAAGTAAAAAGACCCAGTGAGCTGCCAATCAAGACTACTTCAGCTGATCCTGGTGAAAAGCAGCTAGGGAGTTAAAAGGAACGCTTCTTGGTGTATCCTGTAGAATTTTCTAGAGACAGAGGATTTGAGATGAGCCTCAAAGGCTAGGTTGGACTGAAAGGTACACAGCCAAGGCCCTGTACGACCTCTCTTGTTGGGTCCTGTACCTTGCTCATCTTTGCTGTCCTTTAAGAAGTAGCTCAGGGATTTGTTTTGACTTGAGTGGCTGTGGTGCAGGTTACAGATGGTGAGCATCAATGTGGTAGACCACAGGCATAGACATGGTGTTGGCTGTGGCAGGCTGGCTGGCTGGAATCATTGGGTTTCCGCCAACACCAATCAGAGAAAAAGCCTGAAGAAGTAAGGCTGAGGAGTTTGGGCTTTATTTTTAAAATATTGGGGACTCATTGAACATACTAAAAATGTTTTATGGGTATTTGCCTGCAGTGCCCAAGAAGGCAAGAAGAGGGTGTTGGGATTCCCAGGGACTGAATTACAGCTGGTTGTGAGGTATCATGTAGGTTCTGGGAATAGAACCCAGGCCTTCTGGAAGAGCAGTCAGTGCACTTAACAGTTGAATCATCTCTTCAGCTCCCCCCCTCCTTAAATGTTTTGAGGGTAGAGAGACCTTAGAAATGGTGTGTTCATCATTAGGTAAGTAAGAGGGTTAGGAACGTCCTTGAAAGCATTCACACTTTCACCTCCTTGCTGTCCCCCAAGGCTTTCCATACTCTACATGCATGGCAAGTGCCTGTCACCAAGCTACCCCCTCATCCTGTATTCTTAAAAAGCTCTTCTGACTTCATTGGCAAGTTCAGACTGTTGCTAGCAGGTGCCGCCTCCTGAATGTCCTCAGGGCTCTCGTGCTCTCACCCTTGCTGCCTCGGGCCCTTCTGCCTGTAAGAGTAAGTTTGCTCCGTAGTCACCAGCAAGTCCCGACCTTTGACCTTACTCTCTTGTCCCTGACTTTTGTTCGGCCCATCCCTTCTTACCCTGGGTCACTAAAGGCCTCACCCTAGTTTTATCCCCAGTTTTCTCTCTCTAGCCCCACTTCTCTCCGTCCACAGCATCCTCCTTTGTTGGTTTTAGCCTCCGTTCTCCTCCTTCTCTAGCACATCCTTTCCCGAGTTACCGCTGCATCTCTACTCTTCTGAGTTTCTGTGGCATGCATGAGCAGGGTAGCACTGATTAGAATCTCTCATCGATATCCCAGTTGTTACAGCTGGCCCCGGCTTTCAAGCATTGGTACCCCAGTTCTTGCAGCTGACCCTGGCTTTTAAGCTGAAGCCTCTCAGTAGATACTGTGTGCTGACGCATCACCTCTACTTTACAGAAATCTCTGAAGTCAGTGTTTATCTCAGGCAGTTTAGTTGGTAGCCATTCTAGTAAATAATGCAAGTGTGAGGGGACCCAGACCTGACAGAATCAAACTAAAGCCCATATGTGAATAATTAGATTGTGGTAAACCCAGAAGATACCTTGAGAAATCTCTGTTACTGTTATTCTGTAGTTGATCAACAAAAGCCATTAAAATGTTAGATACTGGTTGTACTGACAGGTTTTGAAAAGGAAAAGTTTCCTGAGGCTAGGTGGCATATGCCTGTAATCCTAGCTCTCAGGAGGCTAACAGAGCAGGAGGTTGTAGCCCTCAAGCTAGCCCAGACTGCATCAGTGAGCCCTGGCAAAGGTTAGGGGCTCAGTGGTAGACCAGCCACAGGAAACCCTCGCTTGGCTCACCAACACTGGCAACAAGAAAGTCACTCGTTAGAGACTTTGCATTCAAATCCAGAGAGACCTCCTCGTCTGCTAGCACACAGTGATCTAGCTTTAGCCTCTTCTTATGGTCTTGAACTAGTGTTTCAATTTATTTTACAGATGTTCCTATACTTTGAAGATCATGGACTAGTGACATGCTCTGCAGATCATCTCATTATTCTGTGGAAAAATGGAGAGCGGGAATCTGGACTCCGAAGTATAAAGTTATTTCAGAAGTTAGAAGAGGATGGTGACCTACACCCCGCTGTCTAGTTGAAGGATTGGACAGACACATGAACCTTGACCATCAAATGAAGAGCAGAACTCTGAAAGCCGTAACACACTGATCACTTAGATTTGTAAAGTTCTGCTTGCCTATGAAGCAAGTGTGCTCACCTAAGGACATAGCACAGGTTTCTGCTGGACCTTGCTGCCATGGCATAGTGGGTGCCGTGTTTTGTTTTGTAAAGTGATGGGGGAAAAGGGAACTGTGAAGCTGCCACATTCTTTAGTTCTATCTATTTGGGGTTCCTTTAAAGACTGTTTAGGAATTGTCAGGATAGATCTCTGTTCTGCTTCATTCTCCTGCTCTCTAGTAGCTGTTCTCTAAAACTAAACTTGAAAATTAGTCAAAAAAGAATTATTTTCTTTAAGCACAACACTTCTTTTAGGTACTAATTTAAGTCACTGAAAAGATCCCATTGTCCCTACTAAAATCCCTCTGAACTCCAGTCCACAGGGTACATTTCTTTCTCGGTGTGAACCGGCCTGGACAGTTACTGACCAGAATAGTACTCGAGTGTTTCTCTGGTGAGTCCAGGGTTAGGAAAGACACACTGCTTTTCTGAGGTCAGAAACCACAGCTGAATTGCCCTAGCCATCTGCTTTCCTTCGCGTTAACATGAAATGTTCAAGGACAGACCCACCGTTTGGGTCGTTGAAGATCCACTAGGACTGGACCATCTCTGTCGCCCTACCAGCCTATGGAAATATTCTTATTTTTGGCACTGAAACATAAAATGTCTTCTACACTGCAGTGGGATTACTCTTGTTGATTAAGGAATTTTATTAAAGACAGGTAGGATGTGGGATGTTAGGTACCTGATCCTTCTCCAGGAGAATGTTTACATATTTGTGTGTGCACATGTGTGCACTATGCTCCCTGGATGGATGCTGTAAATTCTTGTCTCCACTGGTTTCAGCTTTCACCGCTGCCTAGGAAGATTGGTAGCATTAGGATGGTAGGTAGATCAGGGAGACGAGCCGTCTGCTCTGTGCATCAGCTCGTGGTCACTTGGGCTAATTTATTTTAGACTCACTTAAAGCTTTGAATTTTGCTCTGTAGATGGACTTCCCCCTTTTACTAATGAGTTTTTCCTTTTCAAATTTGTATTTGGCCATTAGCTAGCAAGGATGTCTTCTTAAATGATAAAAGACAGGAATTCATAGGGTTTTCGTTTGTTTTTCTGTTTTGTTTTTTTATTCCTGTTTCCTAACCTGTTTTGGATTCATGTTTTGTGATAGTAATCTACTCAAATGGAGTGGCAGAAGTCATGCTTAAGTTTTTTTGTTTTTAAATTTTGTTTCCTGGGTGTGTGTGGTTTTTGTTTCTGTTTGATACAGGGTTTCGCTGTGTAGCCCTGGCTGTCCTGGAACTAGCTCTTGTGGACCAGGCTGGCCTTGAACTCACAGAGACCCTCCTGCCTCTGCCTCCTGAGTGCTGGGATTAAAGGCGTGCATCACCACCACCCAGCCACGCTTGAGTTTTAAGAGCAGACAGGATTAGAGCCAAGCATGGCTCTTGTTTCATTCCATTTGACCAGTTTCCCACCGCTGGTGAGAACTAGCGAAAACTAGAGTGTTCTCCAGCCTACTGGAGACCTGGTGTGAGTGTCCCGAGAGCAGGGAGACGAGCATGATACAGCGACCATGGCAAGGATCAGCATCTTTGCTCTTCGGTAGTTCCATGTAGACCGTTCCTAAGACGTGAACTTGTGATTTAGAGGAAGAAAGTTAGAGCTAAGGCCAGTATATATTATGTGCGTGGTTTTTTTCTACTTCAGGCACCTAGCTGTCTGTACCAGATCAGTATGTACAGTGTGCCTTGTTGCTTGCCCATCTGTGCAACACAGTCTTGTCTGTTGCTCACAGGCTGGATGGATGCCAACTGTACTGATATCACCTTTCTTTGCTGGGGAGGGGTAGCCACCCCTGACTGAGGAGTGGCTGAGACTGTTACCATTCTGGTTCATGTAAGAGTAATTTACGCCCAACTTCCCTCTTTGGCAGAGTAATTAATAATAGTATTAACATGACTTTATATTTTCCTAAGTTAATATATGTCCTCACCACACGTGGCGTCACAGAAAACAAGAGTGAGAGGCACTGACAGTAATTTATCTGTGTCACACAGATACATATCTGAGATGCAGGAGCATTACCTGAAAGTCTATGATTCTAGTAAATTGGAAGACTATGTCTCTTAGCAACTCGGAAGATGGCTGTAATTTACACTGATAGTGAGCAGATCATACTGAAACTCTAGCACCTGGATGTCGTAACATCCACATGTTACTAGCATTTGAAGTTAGCATGAAATTGATACGGCACATCACTGAGCAAGCTGTTATGTTGTATGTGGGAGATGTCAGGTGTCTGGCTAATGTTCCCTGCCGAGTGGAACTGAAAGCAAGGTCCTCAGAAAAGGATTGCCCTTGCTCCAGCCCGCTTCTGAAGCCTAAGGAGATCCTGCGCTCTGACCTCAGTGTTCTGGAAACAGACTTGACGACTCATGAAATAAAGGACACTAGGATCCCAAATTTGAAATTATGAAAAGTTTAGGCCAAAGAGATAAAATAAAAACAGCTGTTGGGAATGAAAAATGACTGTAAGAATTTAGTTACAAGAACTTCACAAAAACATTTCATCACAGGTACACAATGCAGCAATACATTACAAAGCCAGCTCTGTCCCCGCCAGTGAATCAAGCCCTCCAACCGTCTAACAAAAATAATTCAGATGCATTTCTGTGCATGGAATTGTCATATATGTTTACACTTTGGTACAAAACATAGAAAAAACATTGGCACATTACATAGAGATAAGTTATCTTTTCCTTCTCCATTTCTCAGTTTTTACATAGTCTGCAGTCCAATTTTCATTTGGGAAAATGTAGCTACTGATTCAATCAGTTCGGTTTCTATGCCTCTGAAAAATGCATCATGGGGTACAGATAAAATAAAACTAAGGTATTTTTGTTTACTTAGTTTCTGAAATCCATAATACACAGAGAAGGGATGGCTGGTAAAAGAGAAAGGAAAGATCTCGAGTCTGACTTTATGCCGAGCACAGAAAGTTGTGAAAAGAGTCGTATAAAAATATACACTTGTGCTTTCAGCCTTACCATACAATTAATAGCTTAAAATAGGATTTACTGCCTCTCCACTCCCTGTCTCTGATATATTTACATTTCTTGCAATTCCTTTTTACATCATTAAAGCAAATGGCATGATCTCAAATATAAATTAAGAATATCTGAACCTTGAAACTTTCCCATTTCCTCCCCAAATTCAGATGTACAGGTAATGCCCAGAAAATTCTAGGGGTGAAGATCCAGGGCGTTTAGATTATCTTAATAAAAATCTTTGAACAACAAATATATATATATATATATAAATTTTTCTTCTCTTAAATTTTGTTTTTTTTTAAAAAGCTTGCTCACGAGCATTCATATTTAATGGCTTTTATAGATACTCTTGACATGTGTCCATGAGCCTGAAGCAAGCGACACTCAGGCAAGCTCCCACTCCTTCCCCATCAGTTGGCCTCCTATAAGGTGAGTCCCTTCCAGGAATGAGGGCTCCACAGGTGGCTGACGCCCATCTGAGGGACACTCACCAGGCCAAGGCTGTGTCCTCACGTGAGCATCACGCTACCTGCCATGTAGTCATGGGAACCATGATACTAACTGGTTTAGGGATAATCTTGTCCTCATTCTGCACATCTTAAAGTAGCTTCTTTTCTTACATATATCTGCTCAGAGAAGCTTTTTAGGGACCCTTCATACTTCTGCCGTCGAGGAAAATAGTGCAGCTGAATCTCAGTAGTGAGTATTCCGGTGGAAGAGGAGCCAGACACTGGCCGAGCCAGACACTGGCCAAGCGGCATGGTCTCCCTCAGCAGGATGGACTCACAGACGCCAGGTTCTCTGCTTCTTGTGTCCTGCGTGTAACTACAGTGAGTCAGCTCTGTGGTTTTGTAAGGGCACACACAGCGTGGCAGAGGAGGCTGCCAAGCGGTTCGTTTGTCACTAGATGATTTAAAAGAACATATTTTTACCGATGGAATATAACTTTCTGAAAAATGAAATTTGGGGGCGTGCATGATTCAGGTCAGCGATTGAACACTAGCTCCTTAATCTACACCTGTTCTCCTCATACAGGAAAGCCTCTCGTTCACACGACTCTGCAGTTCACAGTGTCTATCGTAGATCAAGAGGCCCCTTCTCCAGCCTGGCTTTAGCTGTCAGACGGAAGTCTCAGACTTTTGCACTTGAGGTCATCCAGTGTCTTCCAGTGTTTGTAGTTGTCTGCCAAGTGCTGCATCAGGGCTGGCAGGTGTGCAAAGGCTGCAGGGACATGAACAGAATCCAGAGAAACCCATTACACTAAGTTGGATCTCGGGACTACTTGCTAGGCTTGGCCTTGGGGATCAGAAGTAGAGAAGATAGAGAAGATTGCTTGCCATGCAATCTTGAGGACCTGAGCCCAGTCCACAAGACAATATTAAAAAGCTGGCCATGGTAGCAGGCACTTGTAATCCCATCTTTGGGGAGGTAGCAAGGGCGGATCCCTGGGGCTCACTAGCCAGCCAGCCTGCCCGCCTAATCCAACTGGGAGGCTCTAGGCCAATGAGAAGGCCTGTATAAAAGAAAATGTGGCTGGCTCCTGAGAATGAACTCTGACATCTGTTTGCATGTGTACCCCACAAAAAGAACAGGAGGACAGTGATCCCCAAGGCCTTGGGCTGCCAGTCAACATATGTATGAGAACACTAGTTTTCTTTCTTTGATTGATTTGTTTGTGCTGGGCAGTGGTGGCACACTCCTTTAATTCCAGCATTATGGGAGGTAGAGACAGGTGGATCTCTGTGAGTTCAAGGCCAGCCTGGTCTACAAGAGCTAGTTTCAGGACAGCCAGGGCTACACAGAGAAAAAAAGAGTCATTTATTTGTTTGTTTTGTAGTGCTAGGAGTTGAACCCAGGGTCTTGTACAGTAGGCAAGCAGACCTCCACTCTGAGCTGTGAGCAACACCCCAATTAGCTGCTGAAATAAACAGGCTTTTTATGTAACTCTCTTGAACCTGAAGTTCACAGAGAATGAAATACATTTTACTTAATGGAATTTCTTCCAGTGTGAGAACTTTGGGAATCTGTCCTCTAAAAAGTGAAAAAGTGAAGACTTACTCATCCTGGTAACACTTGTTCACTGTGTCTGTGACTCAAGATTCTGTGCACTCAAGATTGTGACAGGCGTTGGGATGTGCCTACTCTAGCTGCTTGCAAAGGGCTCAGAATACACACACACACGCGCGCACACACACACTCACAGATGTGTGTATTTATGTTAAAAACATCATTCTCAGTTTTGTTTATAACAAAAATGAAATATATATTTATATTTTGTTTATCTTTAGGCCCAGCCTATGCCCCTAAAGGTGATCTTCATTAAGTGTAACAAAAACGTCCTTTGTGGGCGATAAGACAGCATCTAACTTACCATCCCAAGCATCGAACATGTCTGTTATGAAGTAGTCGATGAAGGAGATCTGGGACTTGGGAATGCTGCAGGTATTGCGGTCGAACACTGGCATCACCACAGGTAGCCCCTGCCTCTTCTCCTCATCGGTCTGTGACGGGGGAAAAACAAAAAAACAGCACTGCACAGGGCTGTGGGGCACATGGGGAGCCTTCATAGTCATGGTGTGTTTCCCAGGAGAATCCCAGGGTGCAGAGTTTAGCAATTTTCTGAATGCCCCACATGACTGTGTTCAGGTCTCCTTGCTCTCAGATTCCTCTTTGTCCTTCCACTTTCCCCTCTCTCCTCTCTTGAACTCAAGACCTAAGGAATGTTAGGAGAGTGTTTCTGTTTCCCACAGAGCTGTGTCACACTGGTTCTCATGGCACACTGTGCTCCCAGAAGCACTGATCTGGTGGAATTTAGCCCCCTTTTCTGTAATCTATTTTTATTTCTGAAAAGTCAGATCTAACCCCCTAGTCAGCCTGCACTAATTGACATTTGCAGCAAAGGTCAAACTGTTGCTGGCCCATGAAATGGAGGCAGTGGATGACACAAGGCAGAGACAGTAGTCACTGACGTCCTGGCTGCATGCTTGCAGGTTTGGGTTTGTAACTGGCTTCACTTAAAAATGACACATGCAGCTATGAGAACGACCTGCTTTTAGCATCTTAACCATTCGGGATACATCTTTTGACTGTTCTGCCTGGCAAGACAGCAAGCACGGGAAGCCTTTGTGCTGCAGCCACAGCCGAGGTGCCTTTAGGACTAGGACTTTCAGAGCTGAGCAAAGAGCTGAATGTGCCGTTTTCGCCCCAGGAGCATCAACACACAGCTGTCTGTCAAGGTGCCCGGGAATCTGAGTGTGCCACGTGTTGCGGCGTGTGCTCCTGTCTGGATGCTTGAAGCTGAATGGTGAGATCCACATCTCCTGATAATGCCTGGAGCTCACCCCAGGCCTCCTTTGCAATCTGATTTTCAGGTCATGCTGGTGCTGTCTCTACGTTCTTACTAGAGAAAAGGACACCTAAGTTGGAAACTTCGGTCAGAGAACTTAAGAGTGGAACATTCCCCCAGTGTCAGTAACTAGGAGTAAGGCTTCAAAATCTTTCCACATGGGCCCCAGGAAACCTGTTCATGACTTCCGGCTCAGCTCACTCAGTTCATCAAGGAGTCTTAAAATAGCCACTGGTATTCTTGGAGTAAGTGGTCCATACCCCATCCTCTCTGCTTCCTCATACCCCTCTCCAACACGGGTAAGCTCAGAACTGCCTGTCCTGTTTTTCTGCAGTTCAGAGACTCCTTCTCAACCAGCCCTGCTGTACAATGTCAGCTATTCTTGATCCTGCCTCAGTAATGCATTCCAGCCAGAGAGCACACCACCCCCCATGCGGCTCCTACAGCTGCTTCCAGTTTGTCTTCTGACACACATACAGACGCCAGTCTTTGGAGTTTTTCTTTGAAGTAGGACTCTACTTCAAAAGCCATCTGGCAGTTTACTGTCTTCTGGAGTTGTCTTTTTTATCCTGTTTTTAATTTTTAAGTCCTTCAAAAAATATAACTCTAATCTCACTGTGTAAAGCCTCTTTCTCCTTTAGGAAAAAATGTGAATCCCTGAAGCATCTAGCACAGATACATCCTTAGGAGTAGTTTTTGGTGTGTGTATGTATGTATACATGTATACATGTGATTATTGTGTGTGGCATATATGTACCTGTGTGTTTTGGTGTACACACACAAAGGGATATCAGGGGCCCTGCTCTATCAATTATTTTTTCTGCCTTATTTATTTGAGACAAAATCTCTCTGGCTGGAGAGCTGGGCTGGCGCCTAGCAAACCCAATGGTCTTGTCTCTTCCCGCTGACCTGCTGGGGTAAAAGGTGCTCACATAGCCATGTTCTGCTTCTTTACATGGGTGCTAAGATTCGAACTTAATTCCTCATGTTTATGTAGCAAGTCTCTTGCCCACAGAGCCATCTCCCTGACCCCTGCCCCTTAGATCCAAGGTGTGGGCCTACCTATGTCTATATCTATGAACTTATAGAAGCTCCGGGCCTAACAACACAGAATTTACTTACATTAGAGGGCTTTGGTCAGTGATTAGTACATTGATCTGTCTCTTGAGAGAAGCCCAAGTCTGCTCTTAGCCAGAGCTGAGGTATGTCTGGAGTAGGTGGGCCTTCTGTCTATGTGCTACTTTCATTGGTTAATAAAGAAACTGCCTTGGCTTTTTGATAGGGCAGAATTCAGATAGATAGGTGGAGTAGACTGAACAGAATGCTGGGAGAAAGAAAGCAGAGTCAGGCAGATGCCATGAAGCTCTGGCCTGAGATGGACATGGGTTAGAATCCTCCCAGTAAGCCACGACCTCGTGGTGATATACAGATTATTAAAAATGGGTTAATTAAAATGTGAGAGTTAGCCAAGAAGAGGCTAGATATAATGGACCAGGCAGTGTTTAAATGAATACAGTTTCTATGTAATTATTTCGGGGATTAGCCAGGCGGCTGGGAGCTGGGCAGCAGGAAGCGGCCAGCGGCTCCCTTCACAACAGTATGTCCCTTCCAGAGAAGAGGTGTTCACTAGCTGTGGAACCCACGGGGTTCGATGGCCCTGGGGCCTGTCCCTAGAAGGAAAGGGACACTTCTCACACAGCAGCACACCTGTGCAAAATACTCCTCGGAGATCCTCCCAGCCCACTCGATGCACAGGTCCAAGGGTCGGCACGGGTTGGCCACGTCAGCACACTTGATCATCATACGCTTGATCAGGATCTGGTTCTCCGGGAAGTTCTTCCCAGTCGGGTTGCACTCACAGTCGCTGCCCTCGCTCTGGAAAACACCATCAGATCAGGGCTGCTGAAGCTGCAGAGGCTGACTAACTCACCAGGTGCATGGCTGTGGTTGCGACTTAGCAAAGGGAACTGCTGGATTCCTATACCCCTATATAACACGCTAGCATAGTCTTTAAAGCCAACAGTGTGGTATAGGATTTAAAAGGCGAAACAATCCCTGCCACCACCCATTCGCTCCCTTACAACCTTCTCAGACATGACCGCTCTAAGGCACTGTTGGTTCTGAGCAGTTTAGAAGATCACCCTAAAAAGGGTCTCCTCTGACTCCTCAGAAATGCTTTGAAAACGCAACTTTCAGTTACTTCAATGCATCAAACACGGAAAACTGACTTTCGATTACTTTTTTTTTTATTTGTTTTTGCTTGTTTCTCCTCGCTGCCTTCCCACCCTACTCCTTAAGGCACGTATACATTTGTGTGTTTTCTTGGCAGATTCTCCCCAAGAAATAATTAGTGGAAGTGTGAAAAACAGACATTTGAGCCAAAATGCAGTGTGGATGTGTGTTCAGCAGCCTCTGAAAACACGATTATACCATAGTGTGTACCTGGTGGGGTGGGCAATGCCAGTAGCTCTAGGCATGTAAGCCGATAGGTGGATATGTATGCATTCACAGGCTAGTTGAACAGAGCCTGGAAAAATATTTGGTTCCAAAGGCGGTTTGTACGAAACAGTTAATTAGCTCTCCGGAGCTCTGCCAAGCTGAAAGACCGCATGACGTGTAGTTGGGATTCTGTTTTGAGGCTGGTCCTGTTGATTGGATCCCTGATCGGACACTGTTCTGGGAGCTGTTCTCCTAGCACCTTGAGATGGCTCGTTTACCACAGATGATGTGGCAGGGAGGAGATCTCAACATGGAGCTGTAGGCATGGAGAGAGGACCTTCCTGAGTCTAAATTCTGTCATCCTGTAGAGTGGTCTGCTCAACACATCGCGATGCTGGAGGCATGGGGAGAGGACATTCCTGGTTCTAAATTCTGTCATCCTGTAGAGTGTTCTGTTCCATACATCGCGATGCTTGTTTCCCTCCATCCTTGGTTGGATTGAAAGCTCTGGCATTGTGTGGTGGAGCCCGTGAGAGATGGGGCTTGACACAGGTGAGGTGGATGCTGCTCCTCTCCCTAGGTGATGGGTTCTACAGATGGTGTCCTCATTAATCATCAAGTTATCTTTAAAATGTTTATTCTGCTTTTTCCAGGGTCTTTTTCACAAGACTAGAAACTGCTTTAGCAGAGCTATGGACAACTTTTATGGCTTCTGAGGATAGTTGACTTTATCTTAGTAAGGAATGAACATTGCATCTGTGTTTCTAAAGCCCACATTTGTCAGCCCCATAAAGCAGGTTCATGATAAATTTCTCTCTTCTTAAAATTTTTATTTAAGAAAAAAATGTATATACTGTATTTTGATTATCTTCTTTCCCTTCTCTAGATCCTCCTCACCTCCCTACCAATTTTTCTTGTCAGTTTGTCTCTCTTGGCTTTCATTTTATTTTTTTGAATGAGGGCAGGGAAGCAGGGAAAGGAAACACTTCTGCACTAGTTGGCTTTAACTGTCAAGTTGACATCGCCTAGGTTCTTCCAAGAAGGAAATCTCAACTGAGGGATCACCCAGTTCCCATTGGCTGATAGCTCATCTCTGGGGGACTGTCTTGATTGGTAATGGTTGTGGGAAGACCAGCCTACCGTGGGTGGCACCATCCCCCAGCAAGTGGTTCAGACCTGTAAGACAATTGGCTAGGGGTGGACTGGTGAATGAGTCAGTAAGCTTCCTTCTGTGGTGTCTATCATACTTTCTTGGCTGGGGGTGAGTTCCCCAGTCAGAGTTAACACTACATGAACGAGCAAGCATCTTTGCCTGCAGGTTCCTGCCTTAACGTCCTTCAATGAGAGACTGTCCAAGAAGCCAAATAAACTTTTTCTTCCCTAACGTGCTTTTTGTCAGGATATTTTATCAGAGCGTCAGAAAAGAGCTAATAAACCTGTTTGATCATGGTCCTCAGATACTGGTAAGATTATAGTTCTGTAAAACATTTTGTAACTTTGTGATCCTTAGAGGTTCAAGAACAGAGAGAATGGGGGTCTCCTGTTACACACCGTTCATGCTTGGTGCGGGAGAATTGTCTGTATTCTGTCAATCATGTTTTAAATAAGTGCTGATTGGCCAGGCAAGAGGTGTAGGTGGGAAAACCAGACAGGAAGTGGAAATGATGCAAGGAGAGCAGGAGAATTCTGGGGAGGAGGAAGTTGATTCCTCCCACTCCTGCCCAGGCCACCAAAGCAGCAGGATGTGAGCTGCCCCACTGAAAAAGGTACTGAGCCACATGACTAAAATAGATCAGATAAATGGGTTAATCAAGATGTAAGAGTTAGCTAATAAGTAGCCTCACCTAATGGGCCAATCAGCTTTATAATTTATAGAGTCCTCTGTGTGGTTGATTTTTCTCTGGGACTAAACAGCGTGGGGTACTGAGAGACACAGAAAACACAAACAAGCTGGCCCTCATGTTACAGAATGGCGCCCACATGGATAATTGCATCCACAGAAAGCCTGAGAAAGCTTGGGAAAGACTAGAGTAAAGCATTTCAGTTTTCAGCTATAGCAGGAAAAAAGCTGCGCTGTTTTAAAATGCTGGCTTTCTGGGCCGTCCTGCCAGGGAAAACTCTTGACTTTCAAGCAGGCAGTCTAGACTACGGATACAATGTTGCAGCTTGCTTCCTGACAAGGACCTTGAAAAGCCATAGGAGCTTTTGACTGTTGTTTTCTCCATATTCCTTAGCAAATTAAAGACCCATGTGGTCAGAAAAAGAGAGATATACAGTAAAGAGAGATTCAAAGAGTAAGAAAACCTCTAAATGGTTTACATTGTGTTAAAAATATATACAGGCTAAAGGTTAAAGTTCTCGAGAAAAAAAAAAAAGAAAGAACAAGTAGCCTGGGAGGCAGAGACAGACAGATCTCTGGGAGTTCAAAGATAGCCTGGTCTACAGAGTTATTCCAGGACAAAGATATGCAGAGAACCTGTCTCAAAAAGCCAAAAGTTAAAAGTAAAAATAAAAGAAATAGAGGTTAAAATAAAGCTGCATAAAGATGGAAAATATACAGAGAATCTCGATACTGTATGCTATTATGCTCTCTTTAAATCGTTTGAATGTTGAGGAAGGAGCAACAGCTGCTAAAAGATATTTGCTTATAAATGCTGCAGAATTAATCCAAGATAGGTATTTTGGAAATACCTTGGCTTCAAAATTGAAGTCAAAAGGTATGTTACTTTGGAGAAGAGATTTTGCTTTTGTTTCCACAGAAAATGAGAGGCTCTGGATTTATTCAGAGTTAAGAAAAATCATCTTTGACCAAGGGAGACCACCTGAAAAATCTCTGACAGGAATAGATGGTCCAGATGTCTGAGTTCTTCATCCAGAACAGATTCAAGACTGCTGCCTGAGATGATCAAGACTCACAGGATACTTCCTTCAGTCAGGACTTGATTATAACTCTAAACTTCCTTTAGGTCCCCATGAGATTATCAGTGCCCCCAACCAGCTGGAAGTAGCCTGGAATATTACGCCCACATTCCCAAAAAATGGACTATGGATATTTTCCTTTGTTTGTTTGTTTGTTTGTTTGTTTTAAAAAAAAGAGGGGGAAGTGGTGCGGGAGAATAGTCTGTATTCTGTCCATCATGTTTTAAATAAGTGCTGATTGGCCAGGCAAGAGGTGTAGGTGGGAAAACCAGACAGGAAGTGGAAATGATGCAAGGAGAGCAGGAGAATTCTGGGGAGGAGGAAGTTGATTCCTCCCACTCCTGCCCAGATCATCAAAGCAGCAGGATGTGAGCTGCCCCACTGAAAAAGGTACTGAGCCTCATGGTTAACATAGATCAGAAAAATGGGTTAATCAAGATGTGAGAGTTAGCCAGTAAGAAGCCTGACCTAACGGGCCAATCAGTTTTATAACTTATAGAGATTTCTGTGTGTCATTTTCTTTGGGGCTAAACAGCTGGGGGGTTGGGCAGGACAGAAAAACCCCCAAATAAACAGCCCCCCGCCATGTTACACCTAACGTGCTTTTTGTCAGGATATTTTATCAGAGCAGCAGAAAAGAGCTAATAAACCTGTTTGACCATGGTCCTCAGATACCGGTAAGATTATAGTTCTGTAAAACATTTTGTAACTTTGTGATCCTTAGAGGTTCAAGAACAGAGAGAATGGGGGTCTCCTGTTACACATCGTTCATGCTTGTCTCAGCTCATCTATGAGCTCCTCCTGTTACACACTCTGGGCCCAACTCCTTCCGTCACTTTATCTCAGAGTCTTTCTTTTAAGGAGCACGCAACTGCAGCAGACAGCTGTCAATCGGTCTCATCCCCAAGAAAAACAAGTGGCTGGGCTCGCCGTCTGCTTCTAACCCCAAGCCGTTCATCACCTCACATTCAAGGATAAAATGCTTGGCTGCCGGAGCAGGCGCTCCTGGAAACACACTGCTGTGTCTTAATGCTTACCTCAGCTGCCAGTGGCTTGTTGATGCTGTTCACAAATTTGTTCACATGTTCAAAGTGTTTCGTCATCTCCGTGGCCAAAACCATGTCAATAATAGCCTGGCGTAGCGTCCGGTAATGGTTCCTAAATAAGAAGACAAAAGTTCCTTGTTCACGCCATGCCCTAAGTCAGAACTGCCCTGCAGCTGGGCCTCCCTACAACCTGGGCTGGGGCAGAGTCAAGTGACTGCTGATCCCAGGGCCTGTCTGTTCAGCCTGCTAAGCCCACATTGTTGTTGATGCTATTCTGTGTTCTCCAGTGACCACTGACTCTTCTTCACTTGAATGTTAAGAAGAAGTACATGTCATGTGGTGGACAGTTGTTCCAAAGGTGCTTCCCGCCCCTTCCTTTGAAAACACAAAGACAAGGAAGTGGAAGGATGGGACCGGCCAAAGTGGCTGCCTGATGTGGTGTCTCACTGCATTCCGTGCAGACCGATCCCCACTGCAGAGAACTGCCACTCTTTCTTCTGATGGGATTGAGGAAGCTTCCTTTTACGTAATTCTCGAACTTGCAATTGATAGAGGTTGCGGTGGTTGGAGCAGTGGCACAAGCTTATCAGAGAATTCTTATCACGCACTAATTTGAAGAGGCAGATTGAGGAACTAAGCAAATTGGCTCTCGAAAAGGAAACTTTCTCTACAGGTCCTTGATAGTGACAGAATTTAAGTCCAAATTAGAATAACCATTCTCCATAATTTTTTAGTTTTTTTCTAGAGCCTGAACAGATAAGGTCACGTAGACAACATCATGAGACCCAAGTGTCCCAGCCTTTGCCCAGGACAATGCCCAGCAGCCGATGTGTGCAGGACATAGCCACAGCATCGCTGGCAGGCCAGAGTTCCACCTCATTACACTTGAGTTGCTCTCTACAGAGGAGACCACACAGTGAGAGGGAAACTTGCCCAGCTGGACCCCAGCATCTTCACTGGGACCTCGTCATGAGGAAGGATTCTTAGTGGCCCAAACTCAGCTGGAAAATGCAGGATGATACCTTGCCTTTGAGCCACAGAGAAGATGGGCTGCCCTGGTGGGAGGCGAAAACACTAGCAGACGTGTCAATACCCTGTCCATAGTCAGGTAGTGCTCTGCAGTGCAAAGCAAACAAACAAGAAAACCTTACTTTCACGGACTATGGAAGACGGAAAAATCAGATTTTAAAACATGAAAGGCAGTCTGAAAAGTATAAGTAAGTTAGATGGGCAAAGCTGTTTTCTGATCCTATGCCGTGGGTGACTGTTACTTCCATTTCCCTCTTCGAGGAAGCTGAGTATTCAGAGAAAACGTCGCTTCTCCTTTAGCTTCCCAAACCTACGCACAGACGTCCCACAACAACACACCTGTCAATATTCTTGAAAATGTTGCACTTGGTGTCCTTGACGGTGAGCTGGAAGGCCAGGGCCGTGTGGTGACTCTCCAGGACTGCGGTGTCGTTGTAGAGCACGGCGAGCTCGCTGCCTGCGTTGCACAGGAAGGAGTTGGTCCTTCCGGGGTGGTCCACGTCGTGAACCGTCGCAGCAATGAGAGCAGCCACCTCATCCAGCTGGTCAAGGCTTCCCTGGGATACGGGGAACACTGAGCATCACCCGTGGGCTTCTGGGGACTGACATGGCACTACCACCACCCCTCCTCACATTATTCTGCAAAATAGAAACTGAAGGAACGTTCCCCAGTTCCTTTTATAAAGCCCCCATTACTCTGGATACCTAAACCATGCAAAAACTCAACAAAAAAGAACATTATAGACCAATATCTTTTAAGAACATAGATGCAAAAAAAAAACCCTCAGTAAAATAATTGCAAACCACATCCAAGAACTCACTAAAAAGATTATCAACCACAATCAAGTTAGCTTCATCCCAGAGATGCAAGGATAGCTCAACATATGTAAGTGCATAAACATAATTTACTACATAAATAGACTAAAGGACAGAAACCACATGATCATCTCATTAGATTCAGAAAAGGCCTCTGGCAGACTCAACACCTTTTCAAAATAAAAGTCCTGGAGAGATTCAGGTTATGAGGGATATAACCTCAGTAAATAAAGGCAATTTACGACAAGCCCACAGCCAACATTAATATAAATGGATAGAAACTCAAAGCATTTCCACAAAAACCAGGAACAAGACATGAATGTCTGCTTTCTATCTGTTCAATATAGCACTTGGAGTCTTAGCTAGAGCAGAAGGCAGCTGCAGGAGATCAAGGGGAATCAAAAGATAAAGCAGATGCTAGAGTATCTTTATTTGCAGGCGATGTGGTTGTAATACATAAAAGACCCTAAGAAGTGCCAAGCAACTTCTACAGATGACAAAAATGGTCACAGTAGCTGGATACAAAACATATAAAAATCAGTAGCCTTCCTGTATACAAATGACAAACTCGCTGAGAAAGCATAGGAAACAATTCCTTTACAAAAAGGGAAAATCGAAATGTTTGAGACAACACTAACCAAGCACGTAAAAGACTTGTCTAATGAAAACTCTAAGACATTGAAGAAGGAACCTGAAGACACCAAAGGATGAGAAAATCTCCCACGTTCATGGATTGGTAGGATTAATGTTATGAAAACGGACGACCCACCAAAAGCAATTTACATAATCGATGCAATCCTTATCAAAATCTCAACACAATTCTTCATAGAATTGAAAATATCTTAAACTTCGTGTAGAAACACAGAAAACCCAGGATTGTAAGACAATCCTGAACAATAAAATAACTGCTGGCAATTTTATCATTCCTGACTGGAAGCGGTATATATAGAGCTATAGTAATAAAAGCAGCGTGGTATTATCATAAAATCAAACATGTTTATCAGTGGAATCAAATAGAAGACTCAGACATAAATCTACACACCCATGGACACCTCATTTGTGACCGAGTAGCCAAAATCACACACTTGAGAAAAGATACAGTCTTCAGCATACGGTGCTGGTCAAACTGGGTGGCTACATCTAGAAGAACATCTGCAGCCTCATTCCACATAGAACTCAACTCCAAAAGGACCAAGAACCTCAAAACAAGCCCTGATACCCTGAGTCTGATAGAAGAGACAATAGGTTAGGCTTACACTCACTGGTCAAGGAAAAAAATTTCTGAATAGGACCCTGATAGCACAGACATTAAGATCAAAAATAAATGGGATTCATGAAGCTAAACACTTCTGTATGGCAAAGAGTGTCATCATCTGAAGAGGCATTAAACAGAATGGGGAAAACTATAATAATTATATATTTGACAGAGGGTTAGTATCTAGAATATACGAAGAACTAAATGAACTTGAACATAAGAAAACCAACCCAATTTTTAAAATGTAGCATAGAGCTTAGTCAGGATATCTATTATTGTGATAAAACACTGATCAAAAGAAACTTGGGGGAGGAAACTGATGCAGAGGTCTTCATGACTTGCTCAACCTGTTTTCTTATATAAAAACTACCAGAGAGGCACTGCCCTGTGGGATGGGCCTACCTCCGTCAATCAGTCAATCAATCAATCAAGAAATGCACTACAGACTTCATACAGGCAATCTGATGGAGGCGTGTTCTCAATTAAGATTCTCTTTTCCCAAATATGTCTAGGTTTGTGTCTGAAGAAGGACACTAAAAAGAAATCCCACACTAGCTCAGAATTGAGTATAATAAAGGTTATTTATTTAGGGGTAGACTCACAGATCACAATCCTCTGCACAAATGGGGAACAGGAACCCAATCACACTGCAGGAAGAGAGGCCAGCTTGTGCTTTACACAGGCATTTAAAGTATAAGAGGCCACTCCCAAGAGGGCAGGTAACTTAAAGGCTACTGGCTGTAGGAATTCCTATAGCATGTGTCAAGTTGACAAAAACCAACCAGGACAGCGCTAAACAAAATTACCAAAACAGGAATCACGAATGGCTCAGAAACAACTTACACGTTCAATATCCTTTGCTGTTAGGGAAATGCAAATTAAAACTACTTTGACATTCCATCTTATCACAGCATCAGAATGGACAGGATCAAAACAGAGGACAGCTGGTAAGGATGTGGGGAAAGGGGAACACTTATTTATTGCCGGCAGAAGTGCAAACTTGTACATCCAATATGAAAATCAGTATGGAGGTTCCACAAAAAGCTGAAAATAGAGCTATCAAAAGATCCAACCATATCACTCTTGGGCATATACCCCAAAGATTCTTCTAACTACAAAGATGTGTGCTCATCCAATGTTCATCATTGTGCTATTCATAATAGCCAGAAATTAGAAACAGCCTAAGTGCCCACCAGCTGGCCAATGCATAATAAAAATGTGGTACATTTACATAATAGAATATTATTCAGCTGTTAAGAAAAGTGAAATTTGCAGGCAAACAGATGAAACTAGAAACGATCATCACAAACAAGGACACGCATAACCCAGAAAGACAAGCAGTGCATATTTCTTCTCATATGTGGAAGCTAGCTTTTATGCTTGTAAATGTGCATGTTTCATTTAGGAGTTAGAAGAAAAGTATCCATCCATCTCTCCCAACTAGGAATGCTGCAAACTACAGTAATGATCCTTCTGGCAAGATATGCCCACTGGTGCAATAGCGGCATGTGATGGGGACCCAACCAAACACGTTTTTATTGGACTTAAGGCCCAGTCCATAAGATGGAATGCAGACCTGACACTGTTAATGAGAACAAGAAACTGAGACCAGTTAGGTCATAGGCCCTGAAGGTAAGCCAATTTTTCTGCTAAAGGAATGCAGTAACTAAATGACTCCTAATGACATATTGCTATGCCCACAGATCACACTCAACCTCCATAAGAGAAGCTGCTTCTTGCAGTAGATGGGAATTAACAGAGACTCACAACTGGACAATGTACAGAGAATGGAAGCCTTTGGAGCACTCAGCCATAAATGAAATGTCTGTATCACACACCTCCCCTCAAGGCTCTGGGCTCTGTGCTGAAGAGGAAGGAGGCAGAAAGGTCTTCAGAGTCAGAGGTGGTAGATAACGTAAGGGCACAATGTTTCCCAGACACAGGGTAGATGCACACACGTACTCAGAGACTGTGACAGCTTGTGCACAGACTCTAGCCTAGCATAGTCCCAGCATGGAGGTGGGGAAGTGGACACAACTGACAGATGTTGGGAAGGGAACACTCGGTTTTCTCTAATGGATTGACAATGAGTAGATCAGCCATATACTAGGGCAGGCCCCATGCTCAGAAGCAGGTGGCCAACACAAAACAACACAAATTGGATTCCATGTTTTTGGTGTTGTTTTAAGAAAGAACATAAAGTTGAGTGGCTAGGGAGGTGGGGGAGGATCTTGGAGAAGTTGGAGGAGGGGGAAAATATGATCAAAGTATATTGTTTGAAAATTTCAGAGAATAAGTTTTTTAAAAATTGAATTTAACTTTGGCATTGGGAGGTAGAACTGAGTGGTAAGCATCAGTTCCCAGAACTCACAGATTATATTTGAGTTTTACCACCCCTAAGAAATTGGAGGGACTAACGATTCAAAAGAGAGGTAAGAATATAATTTTCCTGATTCCTGGCATCAGGGGCAGGTCTAACAGAAGATCCCCAAGAAGTGACTCCCACTGCAAGCGCATCTTGGTGGACTGGCCAGTGAACTTGGGCTGAACTTAGCCAAGCGTGAACTTGAACAGTGAACTTGGGCTGAACTTAGCCAAGCCTGAACTTGAACAGTGAACTTGGGCTGAACTTGAACAGCCCAAGTCTCCCAGGTTCCTTGCCGAGCTGCACTTTCTGAACTCCTGGCAGGAGCTGCTGGAGCCAGGAGACACCTTCTGAATTGTAAGTAGGTCACAATGAGTTCGAACCTTTGTTCTAGGGCTGTTAGAGAATTTGAGACCTGGGACTCTGGCACTTGTCCTGGTTTTCCGAAAGGTCTCTTAAGGGAGTGTCACCTTCACACCAACTCCATCCAAACTATGGCAGGATCAGGCTAGACTTAGTGCTAATAATCCAGGTGCTCTGCTCAGCTGGTGGCGGGACCTCAGCTGGGTCCCATCTCATCTCACAAGTGTTAGAACCCACAGCAGGGATTCAGAGGGGTGTGGCTCCTGAGGTGTTTATTACAGACACTGGCTGATACTGTGATCCCTCCCTCCCTCCCTTCCTTCCTTTCTTCCTTCCTCTCTCTTCCTTCTTTCTTTCCTCCCTCCCTCCCTTCCTTTTTCCCTTTTGAGGGGTCCGGGCCCCCAAAGACTCAGTGAGTCCATGGCCCTAGCACAACCCCCAAACAACCTGGCTCTGCATTCAGAGTCAAGGAAAGAAACACAACCTGAAAATGGGACCAGAGCCAGTGGAAGAGGCACTTTGTCAGAGAAAAGTCCCTGGACCCTGGAACGAGGGCCAAAAGAATGCACTAAGCCCCTAGATTCACAGCATACCAAATATATTCACTCTGGTCTCAAAACTAGAGCCAAAAAGGTAAAAAGAACCAAAGAAAGAAACAGTTTGGCCCTAGAATCGGAGCCATCTCTGTCCCTGACACAAAACCAGCCAATCCCTGAACAGGAAAAATGAACTAATCACTGAGCCCCTAGACGCTTAGAATTCTCCTACCAGCAGTTTAGAATTTCCCTCAGACCTGGAAATTCTCTTACATCATAGGGGCAGCCAATCCCAAGACTGGAAGTCTGGAATTCCCCTCACCCCACTCGGGGGTAACCAATCACAGGTCCAGAGGCTTGGAATTCCCCAAGCCTCTTCCCTATATAATCCCCCTCTTTTCGCCATATGTGTGTGTGTGTGGGGGGGTGTCCTCTCCTGTGCTATTCCTATTGCTGCCACCTTGAACAGACAGAGGGACCCAAGTTAACTCACAATAAAGACTCTGCTTTTGCATCAGATATGGTCTCCTGGTGATGTTTTGGGGATCCAGACTTTAGGTATAACATTTGAGGGCTCATCCAGGATCCCCCAAGCCCACCATGACCACCCTCAGCTGAGTCTTAAAGGCGCTAACTAAACAGATACCTTTTTAAATTGCCCAGGCAAAACCCTTTAAGATCTAAATGAGTGTAAGATATAAGAGCTAAATGGCCTAAGATAGAAGGTTTAAATCTAAGTGTATGTATGGGAAGAAGGAAAGTTAACTCCATAAATCTAAGTGTATGTACGGAAGAAAGGACCAGTACACCATTTGCCAGCCTTATAAGATCTGAGGTCCAAGTGTACATGAGGAGAGTTTACTTTGAAGCAGGTTGTTCCTGCTAGACAGGGCTTGCCTACCTCAAACCAGACCTTCGATTGGGTAATGGGGATTGCCTACTGCAAGCCAAATCACTTTGTTTTTGTTTTTTGTTTTGTTTTTGTGTGCTATACTGGTACACTGTCTGGTGTTGGCCTGTTGTTCTTCTGTGACTTTGTCTGGTAAATATACGGCCATTTGCTTATCCTGCCTGTAAGTGTGTGGGCATCCCTGGTCATGTTTAGTGGTAAGATCTACGTGGGCATGTTAGAACACTGGCTAGGAGACTGGGGGCTGCCCTGGGATCTTGCTGGTGGAACAAAAGATCCTCCAGAGCGGGACCGGATTCCCCTAGTTCCTCTAAAGAGACTGAGCAGGTCACAACTGCAGGCCGTGAATCTAGTATCTCACATCCAAATTTGTACACAGCCACCTGTGTTATCTGTGATTGTGTGTGCATCACTGGTGTTTGTCATCCTTCTGAGGCTGGAACACCCTGAAATAATAGGTCTGATCTCCAGTCACCCTCCCACCCCCTGAGCCTCTTCCTTGACCACCTTAAGGATTTCAGGGAGTGGGACCACTCTGAAACCTCTGGGAACTGGGGTGACCATTCTACTAGACGAACGGCCCCAGGAGGGCACTTTAAACCCATCTCTCATGAGCAGGGCTAAAGAAATCATCTATGGATGACCTGGACACCTGGATCAGGTTCCCTGCTGATCTGGCAGACCCCCATCTTGGCTAAAGCCACAACTTACCACCAACCTGGGGTATCACCAAAAATATTTGCCTTGGGGGATGGCACAAACACCCCCAAAGATCCCAAGTCTTCTGACTCCTGATGCCCCCAAACACCTGCGGGGAGTCGGGGTGGGGGAGCTGAGCCCATCCCTAATCCCCCTTGCACCTATGGAAGAACACTCTGGGGAGCAACCTGGCCAGCCAGACTCCATAGCCCCTCCCCCTTTGCATGATGGGCCCGTGTGATGATCAGAGAAACCAGTATTGGTCCTTTGATGCTGTGGACTTGTGTTCGCTAGAAGGGAAAGCTTACCACCAGGTTCTAATGAGGGGTTTCTGGGTTGCTGCTAAGCACCTGACTTACATGGCTTAAACCTTTAGCATTGGGCAGGAGGTTAATGAGTCACCATCAACCTGTCTTGAGAGATTAAGGGAAGCCTTTAGGTCATACTCCCCTATGGACCCTGAGGCGACTGAACACAGGTCAGAAGTAACCCTAGCTTTTGTTAATCAAGCAGCACTAGGTATTAGCAGAAGCTGCAAAAGGATAGGCGGCCTAGCCAGCATAAAAGGAGGGAGAGCTCTGAAGATGGATGAGAAAAGACAGGAGAAGGTTAAGGTACTAAAAAGAGAAAAGGATCAGAGAGCAAGAGTGATTGCAGATGAAAGATGAACTTGCAACATGGTTTGGATGTTGCTGGCAGTGTCAGCTATGAATCCAGGGAAAAACAATTCCACCGCCTGGCCCAGGAACAGAGTAAGGCTTCCCCAAAGAGCAACAGACTGAAGTTTCAAAGGGACCAATGTGCCTATTGCTGGGAGATAGGGTACTAGGCCAAGGATTATCCCAGAAATGGCCACCACAAAGAGCTCCATGGTGTCCTGGCAGCTAAAGTGAGAAGATAAAGTGTTGTTCACGGATGTAAAAGTTAAGAGATTTTTGAGAAAGCATCACATAAGGAAGTTTTGAGGGCCCGAGAAAGTGTTATAGGACAGCAGAAAGGAAAAAAAGAATGCCAGCGTGGCTACAGATGACTGGCAGCTAAGGCAGGGAAAGAAAGTGTTTTATGGCATGTAAGAAGTATAAGGAAGTAATTTGGGGTAATGGAAAATGTTTTATGAAGGGGTCACGGAGAAAACGTGAGACCTAGCACTATGTGGCGGGGAAATTGAGCCTACTCGCAATAAGAGTCAACTTTCAGGAGGAGTCCAAGGGAGTGTTGCAAAGGTCTGAGGATGTAAAAGCTTAATGATGTTAAAGATCAAGATTGCCCCAAGGACTTCAATGCCCCAGTTCAGTAGGAAGTAGTTAAACGATAAAGCCGCCCTTTTCCCAACCACCAGGAGGCAGGCTAGAGTGTTCCTGGGACCAACTGGCTCTTGCCACCTCTGGATCCCAGGCTTTGCTGAGATGGCCATGTTCCTAGTCCCTGAGCTTCAAACTTAAGGTCAGATCTCCTGATGGCAATGCCACCAGATAGTCCCTGGTCAACTCAGCTTCCTCATCGGGCTGCCATACCCCTGGACATGCCCTGTCTACAGTTAGTTAAGAGGTTTATTTTTGGATACCAGGGTCTATATGGATGCCTGACCCATAAACAGAAGGAGCCTATAACCACCTACACATTAAACATTCTCCAGAGCCTTGGGTTAGCAGGCCTAGGGGACTGGACATCATCTTTAGCAATGCAAGGTGGGAAGAAATCAGTAACCAGAGTTAGGAAAGGATTATTTAATGGTTCTCTGTGGTTGACTGCTTTAGTATCCACATTGCTAGGGCCCTTCCTATTTACTTTTGGATCCTGTATTCTTACTAACTCATTTTCATCAGTGAACAAATTAGCACTGTGCAGCTGATGGTACTATGGTCTCAGTTACATTCCATCAGGGGCCCTCAGCGAGGACCCATAATTGGGTCCTCTAAAGTTACTGTGAGAGTGGGGGAATGAGAGACCCATGCCCCCACCGATTCAGTGAGTCTAAAGCCCTAGCACAACCACCAAGCAGCCTGGCTCTGGGTTCAGAATCAGGGGGGAAAAAACATACCCTGAAAATGGGATCAGAGCCAGGGAAAGAGACATTTTGTCCCCAAACCTAGAGCCAGAAAAAAATCCCTGGACCCTGAAACCAAGACCAAAAGAACACACTAAGCCTTAGATTCAGAGCATATTAAAGATATTTGCCCTGGTCCCAAAATTAGAGTCAAAAGGGTAAAAAGAACCAAAGAAAGAAATAGGTTAGCCCCAGAATCAGAGCCATCTCTGCCCCAACACAAACCTAGCCAATCTCGGAGCAGAGAAAATGAACCAATCATTCAGCCTCTAGAGACTTGGAATTCCCCTCAGGCCTGGAAATCTCCTTACATCACAGGGGGCAGCCAATCCCATGACTGGAAATCTGGAATTCCCCGAGTGGGGTGACCAATCACAAGGCCAGAGACTTGGAATTCCCCAAACCTCTTACCCTATATAACCCCCCTCTTTTGGCCACTGAGGGAGGGTCTCCCCTGTGCTGTCCCCGTTGCTGCTATCATCATTGCTGCTGCTGCTTTGGATGGATGGAGGGACCCGAGTTAACTCACAATAAAGACTCTTTGTTTTTGCATCAGATACGGTCTCGTGGCAATGTTTTAGGGATCTGGATTTCGAGCATAACACTTTCCTTCAATCTTCAAATGCATTATTCTTGGAATACATTCTTTGAAGTATTGTGAAATTGCCAGGATGCGTTTTTGGCAAATCTGAGGAGGAACCTCTACCCATTTTCTGTTCCCTCTGCCATTTCCACTTTCTTTTAAGTACCAGGGTCCTAATCCCTCACTAGCCCTGTTCCAAGAGAATAGCCCAGTGGTACTCTCCATAGATCGATGTTCATGCAGTCTCAACAAAATGTCTTCTAAGAACATCTCTGTGGGGGTCAGCGGCGCTGGGAATCAAATCCAGCGCTGTCTGCTGTATCACTGAGCGACACTCCCAGTTTCAAATTTTAAGCTCTGGTTTGCACCGCAGCAAAGCAATCAGAGAGTCACTGTGCCAGTGATGGGAGTTGAGAAGGGAGGGTGATGGGTCCTCCCAGATTTTCACTTGACATGGGTAGGGTCACAACAGCACTGAACCCTGAATAAGTCTAAGTGATGTGAGATTCACAATTAGGCAAAAATCACAGATATATACACCCATACCTACCAGAATGCACATCAGTCAGGGCAAAGCTGTGTGGTTCCTATTAGGAATGTAACATAACGGTCAAATTCTTAACCGTAAGTCCTTTAAATCTGTCTTACAAACCCATTTCCCAGAGCTGGTAAATCGTTATGTATGGGTTCATGCATCAGTCACAGAAAGTCAGTAGGACAGTTAATATTTAAGCATTTTAGAGTAGAGGGCTAGGGAAAAAGTCTAAATCTGAAATAGTTTCAAAACCCTACCCTCCAAAAAACTCTAAACCTTCTTGTCATATTGGATATATGCTGTTTGTCTAATGTATTTACTAAGATTGAGTTCTTAGGTGTCCAGCCCCAGCAGACAGCTAGGCTGTGGTGTCTGGAGTCCTCCCCAGCAGACAGCTAGGCTGTGGTGTCTGGAGTCTACCTTCACTCTTTCCTTTCCGAGGAAGAAAGCTGTGGCGTGGAGGACGTCGGCGGCGTGGGTAGAATTGTGGTAGGCATTGGAGGAGTGGTAGTTGGCTTCAATCACTTGCAACCAGGCCCGAAGAGTGGTTTCAGTGCAGTTTAAAAATTCACATACTCCAAACCTAGAGAAGACCTTTAAGCCCAGGTATACCAATGGCCTGAAAACAGGAAACAAACACCGGTTCATTGAATTCAGTGGCCCAGAAAGATCTTCCTTGAATGACATTAGCAAACAAAGGGATTTGTGTGTGATTGCCCAACATGCTTGGGGCACAAAAACATTGGCATTGCTTTGCCCATCCCTTCCTTGCACCCAGGTGCCTCACGCGAGTCAATACAGGTATTTATCTTAGATTATCTGTAAGTCACAAAACCTCCATGGGCCCTTTTCACCTCTACTTCCACAGGAGTCCTGCATATGCCTTATGCCCTTAAGAAGAGCCTGGGGGCTAAAGGAATGGTTTGAATGGTTTCATCAACCTCACTTAGAATTATGTTACCCTATAGTCATATTCCACAGACCAACATCCCAGGAAGAAATGTCTTCTCCTAAGACAAAAGAAGCTCCTCTCCCTGCTGACAGGACAGGCTCAAGGAGAATTTACCATGCTATCAAATCCCCATTATGTCAGGATGTGTGGGTGGATGGGAGAGGAGGGAGGGAGAGGGAGAGAAAGAATATGATTATAAATTTTTGTTGCTGAGGCTCGTTTTGAATCCCTGAGCTCAAATAAGCCTCTTGCCTCAGTCTCCCAAACTGCTTGTGTGTATGACTGAACCTGACTTCCAATCCATTTTTATAGGGTGGAGAGAGGGCTTTGAGAAAACTTTGAATTCCCAGCTCATGGACACAAAGGAAGTAGATATGAGGAAATGCATGACCTGTGCCTTAATGACAGATACAGCCTCTCCATACAAGAGCCTATTCGGGACACATTAATTCCATCTAAGTTTCTAGATACGAAGACCTTGGACATGGCCGTCCCTCCCTCCCGGCCTTCCACCAGAGATGCCACATACCTTTTATGTGTAACGGCTTCCAATTCAAAGATATTGAAGTCCCAGCTCTCCTCATTATCAAGTAACTGGGCGATACTGGGGGGGACATCGTTGATGGTGATGGGCATCGCAAGGTGACTGTGACTTTGGTGCACATCTGAGCAGACACAGGGGTGGAGGGGGCAAGTTAAGTGTGGGTTCTCCAGGGTCCTTGGCATCTCATTAACTTTAGGGTTGCCACTCGAAACAAAATCTCCAACTTCCATTGATAGGGAGATCTTAACACCAGGGCTCGTCTCATGTTAGGAAATCTCAAGGCCATAAACAGAAAACTAACTCTAAGGCCCCTTTAAATACATGGAGAATGGCACCCGTTATCTAGCAATGCTTGGAGAAGTCATTTTAACCAGGAGGCCTTGCTTTAAATGTAGACCATAGAGAGGAATAAACTCGTGAGAGCCATTGGGAGCAACACCAAGGTGACGGCATCGTCACCACCCTGGGGGTGGCACAGACTGAAGCCAAGTTACAGTGGCCAGTGACACAGAAACACTTACTCTTTGTGAACACATACTCATTCCCTGACAGTCTTCTTAAGCCATCCTGGAAGAAAAAGATGATGTTAGATGCACACTTCACACCCACCACCATTTTCTTAAACTCATTCCATAGCCGGAGGCTGAATCCTGGCCAGCCCAGACTAAAGTCCAGGTCAAGGCAGAGATCAAAATGAAATTGGAGCAGTGGCTAAGGAACGGGATAGTCTATCTTCCATAGTACTAGTACCAGGGGGTGAGGGGGTAGGGACAGGCAGTCAGTCATGAGTGCCAGCAGGACTCACATCTGAGCTGTGAGTTGGCTCAGTTCTCATGGCCACGTTCTCTCCTGGCATTGTGAAACCTCATAAACTGAGTTGCAGAAGTGATCTTGTCTTGGATATGTGTGAGTTTGACATGTCTAAAGCCCCTTAATCTGCACCGAGACATTTTATGTCTTCAGGTATATGGTGAAAAGACCAAGAGCCAGTTTGAGGGGAAGCCTTGGAAAGTCTTTTTAAACACTGGGCCTTCTTTTCTAACTACACTTTCTGCTGCAGAGCGTGGGCATGGTGCTAGTCCGCGAGAGACGTGTTTCTGGGGCTGTGGTTTTGAAGAGTGGGATGGGTGATCTTGACCATCAACTTGAGGGGATCGAGAGCTATGGGCTATTAGTAAAACACAGCTGTGTATGTGGCTTTGAGGGCTTCCTGGAGCTAAGTAGAGCTGAGGGCTCTGACTGGGAGGTGGTTCAGTCCACTGACAGATTCGAAATTTGCATGGGAACGATAGAAACGGTTGTGGGATGGCAGAATTGTGCAAAGTGGGGCTGGTTGGAGGGAGGAGGAGGCAAGTCACTAGGTCCCCAGGGACTCTGTCTTATCCAGGCCCTGTCACTGCTCGCTCTGCTTCCTGCACACCATGGCGGACTGACAGCTGCAAAGCTGTAGGCAGAAATACTTCCCTTTAAGCTGCTTTTATCCTGGTCATGACCACGCCATGACTATGAGAGTAACAGTGGACAGGATTTCTGTGCCCTGACATTTGCTGGCACTTGAGGTTGAACCAGTCCCTAAATGCTCCCGAATCTTCCTCTGCCTCTGCTTCTGTGCCTGAAGCCCTCGTTATTTAGATCTTCCTGCAAACGTTCTTTGGAATTGCTTGCTATCCCTAGAAAATAAGTGCTAAAGTTTAAAGTAGTATTAATGAATGCAGGATCCCCTTGAAGTCACACTTTGGATCGTGGTGCAGAAATCTTAATATTCAGCAACAGATGAGCAGATAAAAAACCCTGGCCACAATTGTTCCGCCTCTGCAGCAAATGTGCATTTCTTGTTTTTCTCCACGTCCCTAAGTCTTATGCAAATGAGGCAGAGTCTCACACTGGCTCCTTTCAGCATTTATCTGGATAGAAAGCACAAAATGACACAAAGGGGCAGGATGGGGGGCAGCTTGTTCTTGGACGCAGAGTCCTTTGGTTGTAGCCCCAAAGGGACTGCCCCTTATCATGACTGAAACTAAAGCTGCATTGGACCGGGTCAGCCAGTCCCAGCCTGGGGACCAGGAAGAACAGAAGACGGCTCAAGGATGGGTGAGGATGGGCTGGGCAGCCGGCAACCCAGTTTTTCCAGGCTGGCTAGAAAAAGAAATCTGCAGAGGCTGAGATAACTCGGGGTCATGTTTCTTTCCTAGAGAGTCCTCCCCTCGGCTTCTGAGAAAGGAGCATGGTGGTTTTTCTCCTTCAGTTGTGGACAGGTGATGTTAAAAGTCAGAAAGAGCTCAACAATGGGGCGAGGTAGACCTTAGCCAGTGGGTCCACAGCTAGTATGTCTCAGATTACTGGCAGGCACAGTCCTCCCACCTCCCTGCTTTGAGCACTATTCTGCTTTCGTAGGATTAGAAAGGGAATTTGAGCCAGGCAGGGCTGGCAAGTCTTTAATTCCAGATCTCTGTGAGTTCAAGGCCAGCCAGCCTGGTCTACAGTGTGAGTTCCAGGACAGCCAGGGATGCTACACAGAGAGACCCTCTCTTGAAAAACCAACACAAAAATGAAATGGAACTTGGCTGTAGCATCTTGAAAGACAAGACTTGGTCACTGGAAACACTGGAAAGATACAAGCTCTTTCATTAAACAGTCATTCTTTGGAGTCCTCACAGGGCCTGATCTACAGAATCATGCCTGTCTTAGTAAACGCGGGGAGGGGGGGAGTGTAAGTATCTTCTATAAGATAGACCCATAACTGTATACAATAAATGTACAATGTTCTGTGTAAAATCTTGTTTATACTATCCAACAGTGCAAATGTATGTACATGTTCCATACAAATGTACCCCTCTTCCTCCTTCCATTTTCCTCCTTTCTCTCTCTCTGCCTTCCTCCCTCCCTCCCTTCCACAGTCTTACTGTGTATTTCAGACTGGCTTTAAATCTGCAGTCCTGCCTCAACTTCTTGGGGTGCTGGGATAACAGGTTTTGTGTGTGTGTGTGTGTGTGTGTGTGTGTGTGTGTGTGTGTGTGTGTGTACCATGTCTACCTCCTGGGTCTCTCACTCATTTTTGTGTTCTTCCCCCTCTCTAGTTGGGTTGGTTGAATTCACAAGATACAGAACCCACGGATTGGAAAGGGATAACTGTATAGATATAGTCTAATGCCCAAGGAAATGCAGCTCTAACCTTCAACCACAGTCCTCTAATTCAGACAGAAAGGAACAAGAAGCAGGAGCCATATAGCCTCTCTGTGGTATGTTTAACCCTCAGTCACCTGCCTGTTTTCTATTCTAACAGGATTTCTCAAGGCTCTTTCCACAGCTGTGGTTAGTCAGCTGGTGGACAGATAAGCATCTTGGCTATAATGGGAAAGAAATTAACAAGCTGCCTCACCTCTACATCAGGTGCTTCTGCTCCCTGAGGCCACAGTGCCCTGTGGATACTCTAGGGTATTTGACCAACACTCTGCATTTCTGGGTTTTCCTTAGCACTTACAGTCATCAGGCCTCCGACAAGATCACTGGTGTGAGGGTCTTCATCTTTGGTTCCAAGCTGAGGGGAATACAGTTCTGTGGTCCGTAAAATTTCTAGAACTCTATCCAAGGCTTCTGCTACTGTAACCGGGCTGTTCTCTTGAGCCGCATTGATTATATTTATAACCTAAGATAGCAAAAAGAGAAAGAATAAACGTGAGAATATTAACATACTAATTCTCCTAAGTCAGACGTATTCAGAAGAAGTCAGTGACCATACATACGCCTAGCTCAGAGGGCAGACCCACTCCTCTCCTCTCTATGAAGTGCACACTCAGCAACCCACACTGCCCCTGTCTATGAAGTGCACACTCTGCAGCCTACACTGCCCCCACGACATCCCACCTTAGGACCCTGCTTCCCAGGATCTCTTGCTGACAACCTTCCCTAGCTCTCTTCCATGGGTTGGAGTTCCTAAGGCATAGGTCTGGTTCTCTATCATATGGCCATTCCAGAAATGATCTTTCACCTCCATGACTCAGGGCACACAATCCATTTCCACATTTATCTTCTAGGACCCACCCAGACTGGGAGAGCCTCAAAAGCCTTCCAGACTCACCTACTATAATACTTCCTGTGCCTAAAACCAGAGCCCAGCCTTAGCCCCTTCTCACAAACCAAGCAAATGGTGTGAGCGACAGCTATTCTCCTGGCCTGAAGGCAGGTGCTCTCCTACCCAAGGCCTGCTCTGTCTGACACGTGTCTCCCCCATTCCTCAGTCCACCAAGTCCAAAGGATTCTCCTCCTAGACATTTTATGATTTGTTTCTTTCTCCCTAACTCTACTGCCTCAATGCTAGCTAAAGTACCACTACCATCTCCTTCCTGGAATCCCAGAGAAGGCCCAAATAGCCTCTTCTCTTGTACTCTTGCTATACCTTACCCATTCTTAGTGTGGTGGCTGAACTCTTCACAGGGACATGTGGACCTGACCATGCTACATCCATTGAAACCCCTTCTAAGGTTTTTTACTACATATAAAATACAAACCATCTATTTTTGGTCCAAGTGACCAGAACAAACACAGCTGTAACATGAGGGGGCCAGCTCGTTGGGGTTTCTGTCCGGCCCAGTACCCCACAGCCAGCAACTCCCAAGGAAAATCACACACAAGACTCCATAAGGTTATAAACTGATTGGCCCATTAGGTCAGGCTACTTATTAGCTCTTATAACTTATGTTACCCCATTATCCTTATCTACATTAGCCACATGGCTCCGTACCTTTCTCAGCTGGGAAAGTTACATGCTGCCTCTTCGGTGGTCTGCACAGGAGTGGCAAGGGAGCTTCCTGCTTTCCGAATACTCCCAGTCTCTTTGCTCCACCCCTACTTCCTGTCTGGCTTTCCTGCCTATACTGCCTGCCTGGCCAATCAGCGTTTTATTAAAATATGATAGACAGAATACAGACAATTCTCCCACACCACACAGCCACCATAATCCTGCCATTATCATCTCACCTCTGCTGGCCACACCCCAGGCTCCCTGGCTTCTGCTCAGTTCTGGGGGACCATCTCTGTGCCCCTTCAGTGATGGACCATCTCCATGCCGGTCCTTGATGTTCCTGCTCCAAGAGTCTCCCTCTGATCAATGTGACTCTCAGGTCTAAGTTTTGCTTCTCACATGACTTCCCTCAGCCTAGACCTACTCTGACATCTCTCACAGAGCCCCTTACAGCACCGATTATATTGTGTAACCACGCTTACTATGTGTTTGGTTAATACCTGGCTTTCCCATTAGATCATTGGCTCTGCTATCAGGAGATGATAGCTCTAGAGCACAGCCCAGGTCTGAACACTGACTGAGCATTGGAGGTGGCAGCTGTCACTTACCTTTGTGATGGGGGCCTCTATGGTCATGGAGTGAATCCTCGCCATGGAGGGGTAGCGGCGATTCTGTAGGCTTGGAGCTGGAGAGAAGGCAGGGCGGTTTTATATGGAGTTAGTGGTTCAGGTTAGGCTAAATACAGCCTAGAGGTCACCTCTGGATGAAGTCTTGGTCTTCTAGGATTTCCTGCCCCACAATTTGGTGAGTTTGACTATCCCTTGTCCCTACAGGGCTGAACACTCAGCCCCACAAGTGTAGAAGGTGTTCTGCCTGAAAGGATGGCGGCAGAGGGCTTGGCGAGTCCCACTCCCCAGGGGAATACTGAGAAGGCTGCTATACACAGACGCCCCATCTCCATAACCCAATGACGTCACAGGACTCCCTTTCCCATGAGTCACTAAGGCCTCTTTCAGAGAGTCTGGCGGGCCCTTTCCTTCCAAAGCCATGGACACCTGAGTGTGTACCTGCCCCATGCCAGGAAACTCAGTATGACCTGGCCAGTCATATTTCTTCCTCAGCCATTAGGTTCATGATGCTCAGAGCCCAATGGTTTTGATGCTAATCGGGACAAACTCATTTTAAAATGACTTCTTTTTTTCAAGTAGGTGGTTCTTATGTGTATGCTTGAAGATTGAGATGGGAGAAGCCTTCCTTAGAAGACCCATCTTCATTACTCCTTTAACCTTCCCTGCAGGGCGCCCTAGAGGTCAGACCTGTTCCAGAGATGCGAGAACCTGATAGAGTCGCCCTCAGTAGGCTTGAGAACCCGGGATTCAGCCCTTGCCGGCCTCTGCTGTATTTCCCAATTCCCACCTTGCCTGTGTGGGACCACATAGCTGCTCTAGGGTCCAGTCTGGCTCAGATGCCCTCAGCCCTCGTCCCCTCCAATAAGCTCTCATGATTCCGTCCTTGCTCTGCAGATCCTGTCACTTGCACGCCACGCGCCAGTCTGTCCTGCTCTGCAGATTCTCTATCTTGCCCCTAGGGTCTTCATCTTTTCTAGTTCAGTCACTTCTCGGGCCTCAGTCCTTCCATTGTGACCCAGAGGACTGGGACGTCTTCCCTTCCTTCCCTTGACCTTTCTGTGTATTTTTAAAACCATACTCCCCAACCTCCATCACAGCACTAACTGTTCCTTCTCAGGCCCTTAGAACTGCTCTTCCAGTGGCCAAATTGAAAAAAAAAACCAAAAAAACAAAAACCTAAACTAATGTGGTTCAGTGGCACAGAGCTTGCCTAATGTGTATGAGATCCTAGTTACACACACACACACACACACACACACACACACACACACACACACAAAGGGTAAGTTCTGCAGCTCCCTTCTACTCCATTCTCTTTCCACCTTGGCTCCTGGGATACCACTCCCACGTTTTTTCTGTCCTTCTGCATCTTTCGCATCCCTCTTTCTCACAGGGTGCCCCTGCAGATTTGGACTCAGACCCTCTGGTCTTTGTCCTCACACAAGCACTCCTGTGTGCATGACCCTTGGCAATGCTTCTCTTCAACACAGAAACTGAAGCCCAAGAAGTCCCTGCTCCTACCACAACCACAGCACCTGCCCCAGACCCAGCATCAGCTCCAGCCTCATCCCTACCCCAGCCCCTGCCCCAGCCACAGCATCTACCCTGCCTCTGCCCCTGCCTCTGTCCCTGCCCCAGCCCCAGCTTTTGCCCCAGCCCCTAGTCCTGTTCCAGCTCCTACCCCTACCTCAGCCCCTGCCCCAGTTCCTGCTTCTGCCTCAGTCAACTGTTGCCTCTGCCCCAGCCCCAGCTCTTGCCCCAGCTCCTGCCCCTACCTCAGCCCCTGCCCCAGTCCCTGCCTCAGTCCTTGCCTCTGCCCCAGCCCTAGCTCCTGCTCCAGCTCCTGCCCCAACCTCAGCCCCTACCCCAGCCCCTGCTCCTGGTCTGACCTTGACCTCCTTTGCAGCTTCCCAAGCATCCTCTTCCCCTCAGGTCCACGTGAGACCCTGCAGACTCCAGAGGACACAGACTTCCGGGAATGGCTTTGCATGTTGATTCTGACCTTTCCACCCCCACAGATCCAGTCTGTTATTTGGGTTTTATTTGTTAAACTCACAGAGTGTTCCATGAAATCCTGACTTTCATTAATTAATTAATTAAGTTTCCGGCCTGTCATTAACGGGTGTGTGTTGTGACCAGCAAACCAGGACACTGCCTAGCTCTTGCCACCAGCACCCAAGGATGACCTTACCTAGCAACTGAAACTGCACTGCTGTGTAGTTTGTGGTCTGACACACTTTGGGCCATGAAAGAAGCAGCCCATGGGCCCTTCAGGGAGAAGAAAAAGACTATAGAAAACCAAGGGAATTTATTTACTTAAACCCTAAAATGTTCTCAGTTTATCGGAAGAAAAGCCTACTCCATTTGAAATCTTGTCTCCTTGGAGTTTCTGCGCCGATGAAGTGTTTGCACATGCCCTCTGTCATTTTCGACACAATCAAAAGGCCAAGGAAATCTGAGAAACTTCTTACCATCACTGCCTCGAGAAGATATTGATTTCACATCAATGGACTCTTTCCTCCTGCTCTTGTGTCTGAATGAATGAGGCTCTGGGGAGTTCAGGCGAGAGACAGAGGAGGTTAGCTTTCAGGGCATTAAAGTGTGAACTTGCACCTTTCCCCTGTTCACCAAAGAAAATGAGTGAGAACTTACACCTTTCCCTATTCGCCAAAGAAAATGAGTGTGCGTTCTATGCTCTAGGAAGTAAAGTTAAGAATCAAGAAACTACTTTCTCTTCAAATCAACACAAAAGGATCAGTCATTCTAGTACAAAAACAATGTCTTTTTCTTCTGGGACTGCGTTACATTGGGGGAAGCCGTGCTCACTAAGACTTACTTAGTTCCATCACCAAAATGTCATCCCGAAAATAAAACTTAAAGGAAATGTTTTGGGGGTTCATCTTGACTAAAGGGCTACACTCACCTGGGTAGGGAAGTTCTCAGTGGAATATCTGGAGAAATAAAATCCTAGTGACATCCGCAGATATTTGGATTGAGAAGCTAGTTTGGACAAGTTTGGGACGCTTCTGAAAAATCGAACATCTAAGTGTTCATCTAGCTTCTCTAAGAGTGGACTTCATCAAGTGACCGAGTCCTGCCGACCGTGGGAAGGGAAGCTCAACACCAAAATGTTCTGGAATGCTGATGTCAAAATGACATGATCAGTGAGTACCAGGCTGTTAAAATGCCTAGGTGATAGCGTTGGCCTCAGTGCTGTGGGCACATTTGCTTCCTGTGAGTAACCCCCGAATGAGAAGAAAAATGTAATCGTAAGCCAGAACCACTCTGAAGCGTAGGCAACTCAAGCGCTAGCAGGAGTAGTCATTAAACAAGCAGATTTAAGCAGCAGAACCATGATACAAGGAAGCTTGCTTCCATAAGAATTGTCAGGGGCACTAAAAAGGATGAAACAATCTAAGGCGGAAGAAAGCAACTCTAGAGCCAAATGGTCCAGGTTCTGACTTAATTTGCCGAAGAGTAACTATGTAGCCTTGGAGACGTTACTGAATTTTTCTGTTTCTCAGTGTCTGCAAAGGGGATAATTACAGTTCCTTGTTCAGAGGCTCATTCAGTTCCTCCTTGTGGTCAGTACCTGGAATAATCCTTGAGCAAGCCGACAGTGTGTACCTGCTGCCCATTACGTTGGTTCATTTGTACAACACACAAGAATGATTCAAACTGGATATTATTCTTACTGACCTCGCCTCTTAGAATTGTAAGACTCTACAGCCATAGAACTGGTTATATGTCTGAAGAAGTTATTCTTCAGTGAGGGCCATTTAACTTAGAGAATTCATTGGTCATTCTTTTTTTTTTTTCTCTGTGTAGCCCTGGCTGTCCTGGTACTTGCTCAGTAAACCAGGCTGGCCTCAAACACACAGAGATCCACCTGCTTCTGTCTCCAGAGTGCTGGGATTAAAGGTGTGCATCACCACTGCCCAAGTCATTATTCATTCCTAACAGACGTCCGTAGGATGAATTAAAAATTTCAATCATAGAAAAGAACTCGGTGACAAAGGGACTCTGCCTCCCATAAAAATAGGTACTTACTGAGAACCTACTGTGCATCAGACATTGGGCTCTGTACTTTAGAGCTAACAACGATCTCATTTGACAATTGCATCCCTCCTGAAAGCTGTAGAGTCCTATTCCCATTATAGCAGTGAGGAACTGAAGCTGGAAAGACCAGGAAGGAAGTCCGGGAACAAAGGACCAAGAAGCAGTGCTTTCCCTATGCTTTCCAGGAGGGAGGCCTTTAACTGATGGAGGAACTGTGACCATTGGCTGAGTGTTTGTTACGTGAAAGGCCATGCTGGGCACTGTAAGGGACAGGGGGATGCTTATTGTCTTTTTTTTTTAGTACCTTTTAAATGTGATACAAATTTACTGAAGTATTTGAGAAAGGGTGTCCATACATGAACCGTCATTCTGCTATTCAAGACTGTCCTGGCCTAGAAAACATTCCAAAGAAGAATGATGGCCGACAGCTAACTGCGTCCTCTTCAGTCATCATAACCATGGGAAAGGCGTTGTTAATTCACTTTGCAAATGAAATTCTGAAGGCCAGAAAGAGCGAATGAACTCTTTCCGTGTAGGCTAACTGTAATCATTCAGTAATCAAGGAGAAGGATCGCACAGCCAATCCAGGGCCTACAGGCGCCCATGCAGAAGAGAATGGTTGGCAGCCATCCTTACAGGAGAAGAGTCACAAAGCTTTACTAATTAACTTTTCCCCTCTCCAGTGGCAAAAAATTCTAGGCCTTCCATCAAGTAGATGTCCACCAAGCCATTCACTTTGCAGATACGGAAGCCAAGGATCTGAGTGCTGTTCCAGTTCTAAGAGAAGAGTAGGGAGCCAAAATCAGAGTTCAGTGCTTAGTTTCCTGGGCCAGCGCCCAGCCATATTTCCAATTTGTAAAAGCAGGCATTAACTACTACTGCCTTTCTGCTAGACCACTCTAGGCTCAGTTCTTCTGCTCTACCTGGTCTCTAGCCAATAAAAGAAAACCAAGAAGGGGAGGAGCCTAGGAGGAACGGCTGCCTCAGACTAAGAGACCAGAGATTTGTAAAGGATTCCTGCTGCTCCTCAGGCTCCCCAGCCCTCCAATGCCAGCACTTAGATTTCAGCAACCCCCATTCGAGGATAACAAATGCAATCTTGAACCCCTTCCGAGCAGCAATGAGAAACTGGGTCGTCAAGGAAATTTTCAGCTGAGAAGTCTCTTACCTGTTTGAGAGTTATCCCCGGAATCACGATGAATCCTGTGGAGCTAGAGTTGTTCCGAAGTTTGGTGAAAGAGAGAGAGATTTTATGTCATTTATTTGTCGTACTCTGCAGCTTAGTTACAAGGCTCTGACCACGCCCAGAAAGCAAGGTGTTACACAGATTGCATGAAGAGATGAGAGACACACACCGAGTGTAAGACTACAAATATTCAATTGCTTTCAGACATTCATCAGGAGTCTAAGAGCAGGAAAGGGACCAAAGAGGGACTCTCCAGGCGGACCTAAATCTGCTAGGCTAACTCATTGTGACACAGTCTGCAGACACACAGAATGACAAAGGCCAGGACTCAAGTCAGATTTTAATAGGCCAATATGCAACCTGTTAGTTTTAGACAGGTCATATTTACTTTCTGAAATACAAAGTCGGGGTTAAATCTAAAATTTTTGTTTTTAGAACCTTTCCTTAAATGTTCCTCAATTGCTGGCACAGTCAATTGATGGACCATTTCCTCACGGAGGCCTGAACTTCAGCTGCCGTTTTGCACCTCGTTCTTTCTCATTATCAGGTTTGTCTCATGCTAATGACCTGGTATAAATGTTCAATAGACATCACTCAATGACCCAATGAAGTCATCAATACTAGAAAGAATACGCATGCTTTTTGTGGGCTCTGCATCTCTTGCATTTACAATCGACTAGGGCACTGCTGGTGGGCACATTGTCATTCGTACTTAGAATCCTATAGCCTCTCTGCTGAATCCTGCTGCTTCCATCCAGGCCTCAGGCCAGCCAACCTGGGCAGCACTCAATGAAGAGGCAAGGTGAAGTTTTAAAAAGACAGGCAAATCTGGGGGACTGTCAGCCAAGGAAGCCTAGCTTGACTTTGCATCTACTGTACTGGCCTGGCGGGAAAGTTCCCTTATGTCAGACACAGCTAAAATGTCCCAGGCTTCATCGAACCATAGATGAAAAGCCAGGAGGGGCTGGAGAGGTAGTTCAGTTGGTAAAGTGCTTGCCACATAATCCCTGAGTTCAGATATTTAGGATCCATATAAAAATCAAGGTATGATGATGTGAATCTGAAATTCCAGTACTGAGGAGCAGAGAGAGGCAGACTCCTGTAGCCCATCGGCCAGCCAGCCTAGCTGAATCCGTGAGCTCCAGATTCAGCATGACACCCTGTCGCAAAAACAGTAAGGTAGAGAGTGACCTAGAAAGACACTCAAAACAACTTCTGGCCTCCACAGGCACCCATATTTGAGTTTGTATGCATATGTGCACACACCCATACGAACATGTACACAAACACATGAAAATAGCCAGGCAAAACAGGTGTTAAAATGAGGCTTCCTACAAAACCCTTCTGCTTGGTTCATTTCACATCCCCACAAGACGTCAATACAGAATCTACGACCCGCCTGTGATAGCTTAGTCATTTAGTCATGGCTACTGACTCTCACCCCATAATTGTGGTACCTTTTATTATTTCTTCCAAGAACATTATTTCATGTTTTCCTCCAGGAATAAAGACCATGTTCTACAAAGCCACCAAGCTCAACACATATTTTCATATGTTCAATATGAATAAAATTCTTGCTTCATTCTTTCTCCTTAATCAGCTCTCGCTTAAAAGCTTTTGTCTTTAACCAAAATACATATGCCTCTAGGAGCAAAACCCATGGCTTCCCATAGTATGAAAAACAAAAAGAGTAATAAACCCCCCTAAGCTCCCTTTTCTCATTTCTCATAGGCTCACAAGCCATCAGTATGGCTCCCATGACCTCCACCGTGGGCCATGTGTTCCGTCTGGCGTGGCATCAGCTCAGTCCTGGTTTAGGATTAAAAATGTGTCCCAGCCACTGACAGGGGTCGGGTGCTGTGGACCAGGGAGGGGAGACAGCATAGGCACAGTTCCATTGACTGGTATGGCACTGGCCCATCTTTTTCTACAGACAGCCTTACACTTGGTGCTTTGAGCTGAACTTGCTGCCTCCACTTTAGCACACTGGCCCCTGGGGGGTTCTGTGGCCACTGTCAGCAGCAGAGGCCACAGGTCTTCCATCTTCACAACCACAGTCTTGCAGGCTGGGTCAGCCTCCGCACCAGGGTGCTGTGTGTGGACCCCACTTCACAATCCTTTCCACGGAGGACAGCTGGGCTCCTCCTGTCACGTCTTAGCAAGCTGGGGCTCTTCATGTAAGTTCTCTGACTGATGGTCTAGCTACATGCCTCGTCTGAGTACCCTCATTTTACAGGAGTCTCATGGATGACGAAATCCCCACGCAGAACAAGAATGAATGTTTCTAACTCAGCAGGAATTATTCCAAAGTGATTTCCTTCACAGTCCTTAGTGGAACTTAGGGAGAATACAAGCAAAGAAGGGTAGCTCCTTAATCTTTGATGGGTCCAGGAGATAGGTCCAGGGGTTTGAGGACCTAAGGACAGGGAGGGGAATGAACTCCATCCCATGACAACGGCCATGTCTCATGTTAGCCAGGGCGGGCAGCTTTCTGCTAACAGTTGCATCATTACAGACTGGAGGAGAAGCAACCGTTCCCTTGGACGTGCAGGGCAGGGAAACTGAGGTTTAAAGTTTAGTCGCCACACACATAGTGCACAGAACTGTTAATCTTGGTCTCCCTAGTTTGATAGCTAATTGCCTTTGTTACATGACTCTTCAGTCACAGGTCTCAAAAGTGTTGTCCTGAGCCTGGCTTGTCATCTTACGCCCTGGAACTACCTCACGGCACAAACAGCCTTTCCCCAGAATTCTGGGAAGGTATGAACTTTGCCATGTGCGTACTTCAGAGAGATCAGGATTCCCCATCCTCAGAGTTGTCACGTTCTCTAGGGCACACAGAGTTTCCGTGTTGGAAAGCTTGAAATGTAGAGTGTTCCTGTGCAGGAATGGCTGGGATGGTGACAAGAGGAGCTACTGCTGCAGCCACAGGCTTTGAAAGTAATGGTTTCTGCAGTGCTGTCTACTGTCCTTGGTCTGCGAATCTGGCAGAGCTCAGAGCTGTGATTTTCCAGCAAGCCTTTGAGGCTGTGTGTGTGTGCACACATGTGCTTGTGCATGTGTGTGTGCTTATAAAGGTGCAATTATAATTTTAAACCTTTAATTAAAATATCATAGGTTTCCACAAAATTTGCTCCCCATGTGCTTAAACCCTTTATTTACTAATGCTTGATTATGATCAACTTCACCTGATCTACCCTGCCTTTCTGGCTAGTTCTTCCATTTTACATGACCCTAGGATAATTTCAGGTTCTTGGGCATGAAGGGCAAGCTCTTTGTCCTGAAGCTACACCCCCCCAGCCTCTAAAAAACACTATTCTCTCTCTCCCTCTCCCCCTGTTCTTCTGTCTCTCTCTGCCTCTCTCTCTCTCTCTCTCTGTGTGTGTGTGTGTGTGTGTGTGTGTGTGTGTGTGTGTGATTTCAGGGTCATTTGTTTCTAAAAGAATATTCCTTTACAATTTATACTCTCAGTTTATTGTGATGTGAAAGCCATTTAGGTTCACTTAGACCCACACATTTTAAACTGTGGGTCACAATTGCATATGAGCATATGGATCATGAGAATGTGGGGAGCATTAAACGTTTGATAATAATAAAAGCTTTCTGAATGCACAAACTTGATTCAAAGTCAGCGCATAATAAATGCAGGTGTTCCCAGCAGTACCCACGTGTACTGCATCATGTGACTTCCCTGACACCTTGGGTCAGAACAACAACTTGTGCAGTTTGTGTGGCTCAGACTGCCGTCCATGTGGTGCCAACAAAGCTGCAAGCCACACCTCAGCTCAGATTCCAGGCTGGTGTATGCTATGGATTGGTTTGTTTTCCTGCTCTGATGAAAACATTAATTCTAGAAAAAAAGATTTACTATTTTCCTACCATTGTTCCTCAACATGTTACCTCTGGCCTGTATTATGTCAGGATGTTTGACTTCTGGAGTGAGTAAAATATCAATGATTTTATTGTCTTGTAGCAAAGCCAGCTTAGATCAGGATGGCATGGGCCTTTCTCTTCTTACTCCTTCTAGTTCAAGATGTTCTCAATTAATAGCAGGCCAGTTCTCCCTGAGATTAGAATAACATACTCAAGTCTTAGCAAATCTTCATGAATTCTGGTTTGAATTAGGACGGGATATCTGATAATTTCTGAAATGGTCTCAAACTTACTTCTACCACTTTGTACTATGATTTTTGTGAACTGGTATTCTCAACATTGATGGTTATAGAATAAAAATATTGATCAACCCTGGAAAACACAGAAAGTGATGTGTTCTGCATATCAAATGCTCAGGCAACATTGAGTCCTTTATGTAAAAGTAAATTCAATTAGTATGCAAATTTGTTGTTGTTTAATACATATCAACAGTATGCAAATACTAACTTCTCTGTATGACGTATTATGGGTAAGTGTTTGACTTATATACCTATTTTCCGGGCCTATCTTGGATAAAAAGAAGTTATGAGTGGAAAGGGCTTGTGACACTCTTAGATTATCCTACAAGGGACAAAAATCCCAGACGTCATGAAGATGGGTAAGTTTCAATGATATTGAATTTAATATTTTTTCACATTTTCAGAAATTTCCATTGACTTTATGAATCTCCATAAAGTCCTTGAATAAATGATTTTTCTGCGTCTAAAAAAAGAATTCCCCCCCCCTCTCCTTCCCCACCAGAATGGCGAGAAAGAAACCATCAAGGATAAAACCTTAGAATACTCCCATGTTGGAAGGAGGACAGAATTACACAATCCTCTTCAAGACCCAGCATGGCACTTTTGTACCAATATAGATGAACATCTCCATGATAAAATATTACCCCAGGGAAACAAAGCTGTTTCATCACAAAGGTAACTCATTCAAGGATACTCAACGAAGTCCAAGGCTGGAAACAGCCCAGGTATCCATTAACAGGGTAACAGACTGAAAAAAACAAACAACAAAATAAACAGGAAGATGATACTGATGCACACAGCCCAGACGAATCTCAGAAACCTAGTGAGCAAAAGAAGCCAGACGACAGAGCAA